AAGTACCATGGCGTCTATTTTGAAGAATGTAAATTTAACTTTACAGTATATCAATCGAATTTACTTGTTGCCAAAAAGGTCTACGAATTTCGTGAAATGTTTCAGAATTTCTCATTCGACTGCATGACTCCTAACAAAACGCGAGTTGATGTTAATGATGAGTTTCATTACATACAATGTTATTCATACCCAGCACTGGTGGGCAGCAGTTAATACCCTCGCTCCCACCACACAGGGTGAAGGTGTAGCAGGGTATATAATATGATGCCAACATGCCCATGTTTGGTGGCACAATAGGCTGATGCTAGCAAGTTTAAAAATATTTCGCCTTTCGAGTTGATAGATCTATTACAATTGCTCATCCATTCACCATGCGTCAATCCATTCCTGAGACAGTCTTAAATCAATGTATCAGAAAGTCTTAACCCTATGTCATCCATTATCAGGCAAAAGTCTTATTAACCATATGTCATCCATTATTAGGTAAAAGTTTTATCATGCTCAGTACAGCGTGTTGTTGGTGGGAGTTGTGTGAAAATGTATCTATAGATATATGTATCAAACAGGCGCCACCTTCCCCAAAAATAAATATCATACGATGGAGAGGGCGACCCGGCCTCACAGCCTCGCCTCTCTGGCACGGGGGAAGGAAGGGAGAAGGGAGGGAAAAGGGAGAGGGAAGTAGGGAATAAAAGAGAATGAGGGATAGAGGTTAAGGATACAAGGTAGGTCAAAGAGAGGGTGAAAGAGAGAGGGAGGACAGGGAATTGGAGAGAGGGAAGAGGAGGTTTCACGGACCAGAACCTCCTCCCTTCTCTCAAAATACGTTCACAGCTACAGCCTCGCTTCTTGCAAGGTCGGTGTTCGATTCCCGATAGTCCAAATGGTGAGGCATTTATCCTTCACTCTTTCCTAATCTCGTTTCTTATCGTAATTTTCTGCGTCTATTCTCTTCATCAGTTCTGAGTTGCCGACAAATATCAGTGTATATGAGGTGTGTGTGTGTGTGTGTGTGTGTGTGTGTGTGTGTGTGTGTGTGTGTGTGTGTGTGTGTGTGTGTGTGTGTGTGTGTGTGTGTGTGTGTGTGTGTGTGTGTGTGTGTGTGTGTGTGTGTGTGTGTATTTATTTATGATTTGTGTCTGCAGAAACGATGTATCAGCTCTTGGACCCCGCCTTTCTAACCAACCTATTTTTTCTCTATTATATCTACTACATATATTTCTCTCTAACACACACACACACTCACACATTCTGAATCTTTCAGAACCTTGTTTACCACGTATGAAAGACCAATTTTGGAGTATGCAGCCCCAGCATGGAGCCCGTACCTTGTCAAGCACAAGACGAAGCTGGAAAAAGTTAAGAGGTATGCCACTAGACTAGTCCCAGAACTAAGAGGCATGTGTTACGAGGAAAGGCTGCGTGAACTGCACCTCACGTCGCTGGAAGACAGAAGAGCTCGGGGAGACATGATCACCACATACAAGATTCTCAGGAGAATTGACAGGGTAGACAAGGATGGATTATTTAACACGGGTGGTACACGCACATGTTAGTTAGTAAATGAGTAGTTAGTACAAGGAATGCACTAGGGAGTGACGTGGTGGAGGCAGATTCCATACACAGTTTCAAATGTAGATATGATGGAGCCCAGTAGGGTCAGAAATCTGTACACCAGTAGATTGACGATTGAGAGTGTGGAGGGAGGTTGAGAGGCGGGATCAAAGAGCCAAAGCTCAAGCCCCGCAAGCACAACTAGGTGAGTACACACGTACGACACACACACACAGGAGAAAAATGAAAAGCAACAGAAGAATCTGTGGTTGAACAGGAATGTAAGGTAGCGAAGCAATTGAGTACAAGAACATGGAGAAACTACAGGAATAACAGAACACCAGAGAGTAGGGAGAGATACCAGAAGGCCAGGAATGTGTACCTTAAAGTGAGGAGAGAAGCAAAGAAACAGTATGAAAATGACATCGCGAGTAAAGCCAAGACCCAACCAAAGCTGCTCCACAGCCACATCAGGAGGAAAACAGCAGTAAAGGAACAAGTGATGAAACTGAGAAAAAGGGAGAACAGATACACAGAGAATGACAAGGAGTGTTAAGAACTCAACAAGAGATTCCAGGAGGTCTTCGCAATAGAACAAGGAGAAGTCCCTGCACTAAATGAGGAGGCGGCAAACCAAGCAACCTTGGAGGAATCTGAGCTCACCAGTGGTGAGGTCAAAAGGAATCTGTTGGAGCTGAATGTGACAAAAGCTGTTGGACCTGACAAAATCTCACTGTGGATACTAAAAGAGGGTGCAGAACCACTGTGTGTGTGTGCGCCACTCTCTATGGTGTATAACAGGTCACTGGAAACAGGAGACCTTCAGGAAAGCTGGAAGACAGCTAATGTAGTCCCAATATACAAAAAGGGTGACAGGCAAGAGGCACTGAACTACAGGTCAGTTTCCCTAACCTGTATACCATGCAAAGTGATGAAGAAGATCGCGAGGAAAAGGCTCGTAGAACATCTGGAGGGAAAGAGCTTCGTAACACACCACCAACATGGGTTCATAGAAGGTAAATCGTGAATCCCAGGATTAATGGAATTTTATGACCAGACAACAAAAATTAGGCAAGAAAGAGACGGGTCATCAGCGGCATATGCTAAATTGGCCAACATAAGAACTGCCTTTGGAAACTTGTGTAAGGAATCGTTCAGGACCCTGTATACCACTTATGCCAGACCTCTCCTGGAGTGTGCAGCTCTAGCCTGGGACCCATACGTAGTTAAACACAAGACAAAGTTAGAGAAGATTCAGAGGTATGCCACCAGACTAGTCCCAGAACTGAGAGGTATGAGCTACAAGGAAAGACTAAGAGAGCTAAACCTCACGTCCCTGGAAAACAGAAGAGCAAGAGAAGACATAATAACCACCTACAAAATTCTCAGGGTAATTGACAGGTTGAACAAAGACGAACTATTTAGCACGGGTGGAACACGAACAAGAGGACACAGGTGGAAACTTAGTACCCAAATGAGCCACAGAGACATTATAAATATTTTTTTCAGTGTCAGAGTAATTAACAAATGGAATGCATTAGGAAGTAATGTGGTGGAGGCTGACTCCATACACAGTTTCAAGTGTAGATATGATAGAGCCCAATAGGCTCAGGAATCTGTACACCAGTTGATTGACGGTTGAGAGTCACAAGGAAAGGAACAAGTATATATTAAAAGATATATACAGAGTCCTCGGTCCTCGCGGCCGAGGACCCGGCCACGGGGACGCTAAGCCTCGAATTCAGCATCTCAAGATAACGCCATGTTTGTAACCCCACCAGTGTTCGTGTCCATTACTTTATAATTCCCTTCTTTCCGTGTGTTCTCGGGAAGACATCTTCCGTCACGCAGGGTGCAGTTGCACCTCCACAGATCTCCAGTATCAGCTCTTGATACTGGTAATGGCTCAAAAGGGCCACCGCTTACGGGCTATTCATGCCCGTGCCACCTTTTGGGTGCCTTAATCTTCATCAATCAATCAATCGAGTGTTCTCACACACGTGGATCACCCTGCCTCTGATGTGTGGCAAGTTGCTCTGCTTAGTGTAAGGTCAGACAGGGAGGCCGAGCCGTTGATAAGTAGATATGAGGCTCATTTGTGTTGAACCGAATGGGATGGAATGGGTATCCGGGAGCATGTGAGACGGATTGTGAAGTGTGGCGCTCGGGAACACACGGGAATAGGTCTGAGTGGCATGATGATGATAAAGATTAAGCCACCCAAAAGGTGGCACGGGCATGAATAGCCCGTAAGTGGTGGCCCTTTGGAGCCATTACCAGTATCAAGAGCTGATACTGGAGATCTGTGGAGGTGCGACTGCACCCTGCGTGACGGGAGATGTCTCCCGTGTGTGAGTGGCATGGGGATTGGTGGGGTTATATGAGATTGGGTAAAGACACGGGGATTGGGAGAGGATTAGGGGTGTGGGAGGAAGGTGGTTAGGGCAGAGAGTTTGTCGGAATGATGGTAATTGGATGACGTTATGCGTATTTCGTTGTATATCTCTCAGGTATATTATATATATCTATATATAATCGAGCTTGGCCATTTGGGCTTAAAACTCTCGAAGTATACTTGGCGTATTCTTCGACTCACAACTGGGAAAACTGAATTCAAATTCGCTGGCGGGACAGAGAGGGTTGGCACGTTTCCTTTCACCTGATAAATCTGTTCACCTAGCAGTAAATAGGTACCCTGGAGTTAGGCAACTGTTGTGGGGGTTCCAACCTGGGTAGTATATATATATATATGTGTGTGTGTGTATATCACGAAAATAAACACGTGATTAAAAATGTGACTATGTCAGACCACGGAGGAAAATTGAAACAGGAATTTCCTTAAGTACTTTCGTATATTAATACATCTTCAGAAGGAGAAGAAGGACTCCTTCTGAAGATTTATTAATATACGAGAGTACTTAAGGAAATTCCTGTTTCAATTTTCCTCCGTGGTCTGACACTGTCATATATATATATATATATATATATATATATATATATATATATATATATATATATATATATATATATATATATATATATATATATCCAGGGAACATTCGGACTAATAACTACCAAAATGAATGCAAAACTTAATCCAACCTTTAGATAACTCTTAAGATATTAGTTACCAATATTAAACCATTCGCATTCCTCAGATGTGCAAGAGTGAAGCAAGCAGCGTGTATGAGCTGTAACAATACCCAATGATCTGTACACACCAGCCTCGTTTTGGGCCTGCACCACGTCTGAATATTTTCCCCCCGGCAAAACTGTAAAGGAACGAGACTGACTTTCACTATTATTACTAGTTGCAAGCATACCTTGCCCTTCCTCCCCCTCCCCACACCCATCATCCACCCCCATCCCCCGCCCATCACTCACCCCACCTCCCCCAACACCTCCGCCCACTCGACGGGATGGGTATATTAAGGCTAAATTAGGGTTCCCACCCTCAGGTGCCCTACACTCCGTGCTCCCGACGGCGGCGTGTGTGTGTGTGGTGGTGCTAGGAAGCTCGCTGTAAGTCCACAACTCTCTTACTGTGTGTGTGTCAAGAAAATAGTCGCTGGAAGTACTCAAGAGAGAGAAACACGTCCTCAAGGAGCCATTTCTACTCCCTAAAAAGCAGTGTTTCACACAGCCGCTCAATTCATATTCAAGTGTTTCGTTGAAACTGTTTTTTTCATTTGTTTCAATAAGGAAATTGCAGTGCTCATCAGGACCCGGTTGCTTGCGTGCGTTTGTGGATTTTGCGGCAGTAAGGACTCCAAGGGGGGATTGAGCGCTCAGATGTGTGTCTCAATGGAGTCCCGCAAGTTACTGGATCAGTCTTCAGACTTGAGTCTAGCTGTCGATGGGCCGGATGTTGTGAAGGTGACAGTTGAGAGTAATGGCATTATGTTCAGCTGGTGGAGGCAACCCAGGTGTTGGTGAGGAAGAACCACGCTCCACACCCCGTCTGGCCACGCTCCACACCCCCCTGTGGCCAGGCACCACACCCACTCTGGCCAAGCTCCACACCCCCCTGTGGCCACGCTCCACACACCCCCTGTGGCCACGCTCCACACCCACTCTGGCCAGGCTCCACACCCCCCTGTGGCCAGGCTCCACACCCCCTGTGGCCACGCTCCACACACCCCCTGTGGCCACGCTCCACACCCACTCTGGCCAAGCTCCACACCCCCTGTGATCAAGCGCCACACCCACTGTGGCCAAGCTCCACACGCCCTTTTAACCACGCTCCACACCCCCCTATAGCCACGCTCCACACCCCCCCTTTAGACACGCTCCACACCCCCCTATAGCCACGCTCCACACCCCCCTTTAGACACGCTCCACACCCCCCCTTTAGACACGCTCCACACCCCCCTATAGCCACTCTCCACACCCCCCTTTAGACACGCTCCACACCCCCCTTTAGACACGCTCCACACCCCCCCTTTAGACACGCTCCACACCCCCCCTTTAGACACGCTCCACACCCCCCCTTTAGACCACGCTCCACACCCCCCCCCTTTGGACAAACTCCACACTATCTCTAACCATGCAACAAAAATAGTAAAAAAAATAGTAAATTACAATTATATTATCTGGTGACGTAACGACGTCATTAGCGTCGTAACGATGTCATTAATGTCGCAGCCGGAAGTCATAAGCATCGTCACTAAGACAATGACGTTCTTACAAGAAGATTTTATCAAACGTGGGTGAGATTTACCATCTTAGCATGATAGTAAATTCTCATCAGATGCCAAATCAGATCGGATATTGCTCTGTGATCGGCCAGAATCGTACGCTTATCTCAAAGAATATCGAATATTCTTAAGTCTGTTATCTATTTCTTAGATATAGATAGAAGAAGAGCGTGAACCCCACTCAATCACTGCACGAATTGAATAAAAAGAAAAACAGTAACAATATATAATATAGAGTTAATTGAGGTTAATGGCTGATGCTTAAATGTTAAACGAACGGTTTATATATTAATGTCAGCATTAATATTACAGCATTATAATATTAATGCTCCTTTCAAACACAGTTATTCTCAATTTCTATTATTATTTGTGTTTGGGAGACTCAAGAACGTTGGGTCAAATCCTCTCATTGTTCTAAATCATTTTATCATTATTATTACCATTATTGTTATTATTTATTAGAGTAAAACTCTTTTCTAAATTTGATTAAAACAAGAAATAAATATGTAACTAATGAATATTTCAGAGCACAAATCAAAGTAACGTAACGATTCTTGCTTTGTCGCGTCAGGTCATTATGAGAGTGAAGGTGAGCTAACTAGCTGGCATATGAGAGCACCAACCAATGTGGAAAATGTCCTAATAACCTTTATTTTCATTCCAGGAAGGTCCAAGAGCCGTACCATTGTATCTGAGAGTCTTTACCTCGACAGCTTGTTAAGCATCCACCACCAACATGCCCGGCCACGTCAAGAAGTCCACGGGACCAGACCCTGATCCCTCGGAGTTCCTGTACGTCTCCCTCGAGCAGAAGCGCGTTGATCAGACCAAACCTTACGACGCCAAGAAGTCCTGCTGGGTCCCAGATGAGAAGGATGGCTTCACGGAGGGTGAGATTCAGGGCACCAAGGGTGACCTCGTCACTGTCATGGCCAAAGGCGAGTCGAAGAACTTCAAGAAGGATCTTGTACAACAGGTCAACCCTCCCAAGTTCGAGAAATGCGAGGACATGTCCAACTTGACCTACCTGAACGATGCCTCCGTCCTGTACAACTTGAAGGCCCGTTATATTTGCAAGCTCATCTACACCTACTCCGGTCTCTTCTGCGTCGTCGTCAACCCCTACAAGCGCTACCCCATCTACACCAACCGCGTGGTCAAGATCTATCAGGGCAAGAGGCGTAACGAAGTACCTCCCCATCTCTTCGCTATCTCTGACGGCGCCTACATGAACATGATCCAGGGTAAGTGTTGGATATCTAACTGAAGATACCAGTGATTTGTTAATATTTAAATGTATTTCAGTTATACGTATTAAAGATAATGCCTCAAACGCTTGCCACATTTTGTGTGGGTAGGCGTAACATCCACATTGATTTATGTATTAGTGGTTATTTATGTTTTATTTCAGTCTTTAAATCATTTCTTTATATTTCACAGGTGGTGAAAATCAGTCTATGTTGATTACGTAAGTCTAGTATTCCTTTATCGTTCTTCTTAATAATTGCTAATAATAGATATAAGTGTGAGAATACACATACATGTATATATATATATATATATATATATATATATATATATATATATATATATATATATATATATATAGATTGATTGATTGCTAACGAAGAGCAACATATTCCCTTTAACTGCCACACTGGGCTAACCAGCACTCTGTTTTCTCCCTCACAACGGAGGCGTGAGTTTGCCGTCAATGTTTATGAATCATAAACTGGTATCAGTCTCCGTGGTGTAGTGGTAAGACACTCGCCTGGCGTTCTGCGAGCGCTATGTCATGGGTTCGTATCCTGGCCGGGGAGGATTTACTGGGCGCAATTCCTTAACTGTAGCCTCTGTTTAACGCAACAGTAAAATGTGTACTTGGATGAAAAAACGATTCTTCGCGGCAGGGGATCGTATTCCAGGGACCATAGGATTAAGGACTTGCCCGAAACGCTACGCGTACTAGTGGCTGTACAAGAATGTAACAACTCTTGTATATATCTCAAATATAATGTCTTTCCCTCCCACAGCGGTGAGTCCGGTGCCGGCAAGACTGAGAACACCAAGAAGGTACTCTCCTACTTCGCCAACGTCGGCGCCACCACCAAGAAACCCGGTGAAGACGCGAAGCCTGTAAGATGATATTCCTTTATGCCAACAATATGTCACAATAACGTTCTTAAAACAAATAACCAAACCCACACTTATAAACTGATAAATTAGTTAATTAGGATCATTAATGATTGAATATTGTAAGGGATGAAATCAAAGGTCCTTGTCCAATGATCACCACAAGATATGCAGTGAGGTACATAGACACTCTCTTCCCTTGAACAGAACTTGGAGGACCAGATCGTCCAGACCAACCCAATCCTGGAAGCCTTCGGTAACGCCAAGACCACCCGTAACGACAACTCTTCCCGCTTCGTGAGTTCCTCTTTTTTTTCTCTTCAAATTTAAAAGAATAATTTTTAGATGACAAATATCTCATGATATTCTTATAAATTGTATTTGTTAATTGTTGACTGATGCTAAACAAACTCGTTATCCTATAGGGTAAATTCATCCGTATTCACTTCGGACCAAGTGGCAAGCTGTCCGGTGGTGACATTGAGGTCTACCTGCTGGAGAAGGCTCGCGTCATCTCCCAGCAGCCTCTTGAGCGCTCCTACCATATCTTCTACGAGATGATGTCCGACCAGATCGAATGGATTAAGCGTAAGTAGCACTTATCACCCCTCAGTCATTTTGGTGAACCAGATATATAGCAGTAAGCTTGAAAATTTACAGATCATGTGTAGAGTAATGCAGTTTTATCATATAAACTGTTAAGCAGTAACGAGAAGTTTAACAAGTATAGTGTATTAACCCAATCTTGTTACAAACACACACAGTTCAGTTTGAGGCAATAGAAATATTGCAATACTCTACAAGAAGCAAGAGAAAAATTACTCCATTTTGCAATGAACGATATTGAAATACAATTCAACACTACACACCATGAACAATTCCAGCAGCTCCCATCACACACACACATACATACACACACACACACACACACACACACACACACACACACACACACACACACACACACACACACACACACACACACACACACACACACACAACATGAAACAAATAATATATCATCTCTCCTAAACACTAAGTAAACTCAGCTACTGATTTGATTCACTTGTATTTTGAATATAAAATAACCATGAACCTTTGAGAACATTTCAGAAGTGTGTTGGTAAGACCGTTCTTGTGTTTTTGTGACTATTATAAAACATTATGAACGAAATTTTAATTTATTCGCACATTTTTTCGAACTAATCAAAATGGAAAATCGTAAGTCATACTGTTCGTACTTATAACGCGTATTCACAAACTTGGTCATAACTGTGACAGCTGGTGAGATTATAGAGACGCTTCACCTCGTAATTTCTAGCTGTTGAATTAGACTGTGAGTTGCTGCTTGGGGACGGTCAGTAGTGCAAGGGAGACTCGATAAGCACACAAACTTCCTGACCCCTGACTATGAGAGCCTTGACGACCTCAGTATCAATCGTTGTCCCCTCTCGCTCTCCTCACCAGCGGAGGACTCCCGTGTCCTGCTGTAGAAGCAAGTGTCATAACTCCTAACGAAAAACCTCTTACAACAAATGTTCTGCTGTTGTGACACGACGAGATAATCTATATATTACATATAATTATCTTCACCTTATTTTTCATATTGCTTTAAATTTTGAACATGATAAGAGGCAATTCCAACTCAAATACCCAATGATAAACTTAAGAACCATCAGTGAGTAGTGGAAATTAAGACGTAAACAGTACTTCGAGTTCCATCACCCGAGGAAAAGCAAAAAGAGGAAAAACCAATGCATATATACTTCAGCTCGAACCTCAGTCCCTCATTTGTCCTATCAATCTCCTTCCAGCCAATTGCTTGCTTAGCAACAATATCTACGACTACCACTACGTCTCGCAGGGCAAGGTCACTGTGCCCTCCATTGATGATAAAGAGGACATGCAGTTCTGTGACGTGAGTAATCCAGATGACTGAGAATACGATTCTGGATCCGAACTATATTACAATGTAATTCGGATGGTCCCTCAAACATACCCCCCCTAGAATTAACACCATAAGGACACTGTACATCTCCCTTATAGTTAAGTATAATAACAATCGTAGGGAAATCCAAACAGATATATGCAAATATCTTACCACTTTCCAAAATTGAAACCAGTCTGCCCCCTCCGTTACTGTATTTACAGCTGCTCGTCCCTACTGTATCCACAGCTGTATCCCCCTCTCCCGTAGTTACAGGTATCCACAGTTGTATCCCCCTCTCCCGTAGTTACAGGTATCCACAGTTGTATCCCCCTCTCCCGTAGTTACAGGTATCCACAGCTGTATCCCCCTCTCCCGTAGTTACAGGTATCCACAGCTGTATCCCTCTCCCGTAGCTACAGTAATATGACCCATTTCTCATCTCTGTGATGGTTTCTTCCTTCCCCTTGTTTAGATTTGTTTCCTCTTTTTCCCCCTGTTTAAACCGGCTTTTCCCTATTTGACTTATTTACGACGGTTTTCCCCTCATTGCCTTATTTACAGCGGTTTTCCCAATTTACAACGGTGTATCCATCTTTGCCTTATTTACAACGGTTTTCCCAATTTACAACGGCTTTCCCTATTTACAACCGTTTTACCCTATGTCCCCAATTTACAGCGGTTGTACCCCTACGTCCCCAATTTACAGCGTTTAACCTATTTCCCCAATTTGCAGTGGTTTTTACGCTATATCCCCAATTTGCAGTGGTTTTACCCTATGTCCACAATTTACAGCGGTTTTCCCCTATGCCACCAATTTACAGCGGTTTTATTCTATGTCACCAATTTACAGTGACTTTACCATGTGTCTCCAATTTACAACGGTTTTACCCTATTTACAACGGTTTTACCCTGTCCCCCAATTTACAGCGGTTTTACCCTCTGTTCACAGTTTTCAGCGATTTGACCCTGTACCCCCCTGATTTACAACGGTTTTACCTTCTGTCCACAGTTTTCAGCGATTTGACCCTGTACCCCCCTGATTTACAACGGTTTTACCCTCTTTCCCCAATTTACATCGGTTTTGCCCCCTCTTTCCCACATTTACAAAGGTATGACCTCCTCCCTAATTAAGTTTACCGGCTTTGGCCTACAAACCCACCCTTCATATGACCTTCCCTGCTTCTACAGCCACCTGTTTGCTTAGCGACAACGTCTACGACTATCACTATGTGTCGCAGGGCAAGGTTACTGTGCCCTCCATTGACGATAAAGAGGACATGCAGTTCTGTGACGTGAGTGATTGTTGAGGACCTCACTCGGTGGTGTGGCATGTGCTTTCACTCCGCTTGGTGGTGGGCTTTAACCCCTAGACTGCTGCGGGGGTTCAAGATCAACGCTAGGCTTGAACCCCTAGACCGCTGCGGGGGGTTCAAGATCAACGCTGCCTGTGCTCAAAATTGATGTGTCTAGCTTTCTCCTCGAAGTTAAAAATTGATGCTTAACCTAACACAGCATGGCCTCAAAATTTGCTAACCGTGAAAGATACACAACAAAAAATAATCTTGTATCATCTCTGTATGTCATCTTCATTCTGGGGTATGCCTGGATTTGAGAATTACATAGGACCTAATTCTCACAGTTTCAGCAACTATGTAACAGTGTAACTATGCAACAAGTTTCAGTAATAATGACATTTTAACATTATCATTCGTTTCACATTTGTCTATATTTGATTAATATAATGTAAAAGGTTAAAGAAAATGCTTATACCAGTTACTAGAATTGAACTGAGAAAATTATATTCCTCTCAAGGATTGGGAAGGCTTCTGCACTGAGTGGTTCCGAATTTGTATAATTTTGTTGTATTTAGCATGCATGCTGAAAGTTTATTGTCCAACAAACTGTTGTGACTAAAAATTAATATTGAAAATAAAATAAAGCCTCCTCCCTATAATATAAAAGTTCCCCCTTTCAATATAATATAAACAGGCATCTGTTTCAACAATATAGAGGTATCCCCCTCATTGTAATAGCTAATTTTCCCCTCACTATTATATAAAGAGCTCATTCGTCACACTAATATAAAAATCCTCTCTTAAACTACCACAAAAGTCCCCACTCTCTGTAACATAAAATATAATAATACTATGTGCAAGAGTTGAGTGCTCACATCATACCAACTAACGATAAGCTTGATTGTGATGTTGGTGACGTCGCTTCACTCTGGGCTTTAAGCTTTGTGGTTGTCCACACTAACAAAGGATGTATACACCGAGGGGTTTAGCTCATCTCTTGGTTTATATGCACTGAGAGTTTACTGTAGTCCTGAACTGTATTCTGGACTAAAGTATTCTCGCTGGTTGGTCAGTAGGCTACTGTGGTGGCCTTATTAACCCTTCTGAGGTTGATAAACTTTAAGCCCAAAACCAAATCAAAATAAAAGCAATGACATACTGTAAAATGTACCTGACTACTTTGTTTTGATTATATTTTCTACTCTTGATAATGGAGTTAAACCTAATTATTGATGCACCCGGTAATGTAGTTTAATCTAATACTTTAGAGAGCTCATGTGTTTATATTCTAGAAACTCTTCCCCCCCCCCCCTCCCACCAAAGACTCTGTCTAATCCTCCTTTAACTCGCCCTATTCTAGGAAGCCTTTGATATTCTTGGTTTCTCGAGAGTGGAAAAGGAGAACGTCTACAAGCTGACTGCTGCAGTCATGCACTTCGGTGAGATGAAGTTCAAGCAGAGGGGTCGCGAGGAGCAGGCTGAGGCCGACGGCACTGAGGTAATTATACAATATTCCCCGTTGTTTACGAATAAGTCAAATTCTTATTACGTGTATGCTAATTTATGCTGCTTGAGAACTCCTATAGTTACAAGCTACCGTTGGCTTCCAACCTCACCATGATGTCTCTGTTCTCCTCCACAGGTAGGAGATACCATCGGGAAACTGATGGGTATAGATGGTGCTGACCTTTACAAGAATATTACCAAGCCCAAGATCAAGGTAGGCACAGAGTTTGTAGCCAAGGGCATGAACGTGGATCAGTGTTTCTACGCCGTCGGTGCCCTGGCCAAGGCTATGTTCGATCGTGTGTTCAAGTGGTTGGTTACCAAGTGTAACGTAACTCTTGAGACGGGCAAGAAGCGTGCTTCCTTCATCGGTGTCCTCGATATTGCTGGTTTCGAGATCTTTGAGGTAAGGAATTCTTTCTCATTTTCACAGCATCACAAGAGCTTCATTAAATTATTCATTATATATATCTACTGATGATAGTAACGTATCTTAGTTCTGTTTGTACTATGCATCATAAACTTTAACGTTGTTGGTTTATGGTTGCTGTGGAACTCTTTTTTTTCCACAATATTTACTGACGAAACTGCACATGTCTTTTTCCCTGTAGTTCAACGGCTTCGAGCAGATCTGTATCAACTTCTGTAACGAGAAGCTGCAGCAGTTCTTCAACCATCACATGTTTGTGCTGGAACAAGAGGAGTACAAGAGGGAAGGTATTAACTGGGTCTTCGTCGACTTCGGTATGGACTTACAGGCCTGCATCGAGCTCTTCGAGAAGGTAACTCAAGCATAACATCTTTTGAAACCTAAATTTCCAGATTTTTAAAACCTGCCGATTATGAGAGCATTAAATTTGTATATGAAGCCAAGCAATGGAAAACGGAAATAAAACTTGAAATTCTTGTAAACATCTTTTTGGCATACTTAATTATGTTTTCTACTTCGTAATTTTTAGTTTTAATGCATTAACTTCAGAACTGTTTATTAATCCTTTTATCTAATGACTGCTACATATAGGAAAGTTTTCATAATCATCATCCGAGTCTGAAAACATTGTGATCGTCGCTCTCTTCCGACTTGTGAAATTAATGATTTTTCGCAATAATCAACAGAAAATGGGTCTGCTCTCCATCCTGGAGGAAGAGTCCATGTTCCCCAAGGCCACTGACAAGTCTTTCCTTGAGAAGCTGAACGCCAACCACCTTGGCAAGACTCCCGTGTTCATCAAGCCCAAACCTTCGAAGGGTGGAGCAGAAGCCCACTTCGCCATCGTTCACTATGCTGGTACTGTCAACTATAACCTGGCTGGCTGGCTGGAGAAGAACAAGGATCCCCTCAACGACACCGTCGTCGACCAGATCAAGAAGGCCACCAACGAACTTTCTGTTATTATATTCGCAGATCATCCTGGTCAATCGGCAGCCGCAGATCCTAAAGGTGGTAAGTATTTCGCAACATCTGTTTTATACACTGAAAAATGTTATCAGTTTATATTATGTACAAAGAGTACTTAATAAATCAAGTCATGGTACCTTTGAACTTTATAAACTTTGATCTGTTACTAATCAGTCTCAGTTGCCTGATTATATAATTAACGTAAGTTGGCAAAGAAAATTAACAAAATCAACATAACAAACATTATAAATGTTAAGATATGTTTCTGTTTCCTTTGCAGAGATGTCGTGCTGGGAGTGTGTGGCATCTGATCTTCCAGCCAGGCTTTCTGACACGAAATTGGAGAATTCAATTTTTCCTCTTTTTAATTATTTGTAAATTCTTGATAAATAGAATTAATGGAATTAAAATCAATTTTAGATGAAATTGCTGCAAGACTACTAAGAACTATTTTTCAGATTAGGCTGCAATAATTACAGTATAAAACTTTCAATAACACTAAAGTATATTTAGAGATACGCTTGTGTATATCTTTAAACAAACAAAAGTTAAAAAAAAAAATTGTAAGGGCTAAACTTATGAAGCCTAGAGAGTTTATAATTGTTATTTATTTTAGCTAATCTGTGGCTTATCCGGTGTTTCCAGGAGGTCGAGGACAGAAGTCTGGAGCTTTCAAAACTGTCTCCTCGGGTTACAGGGTACGTCTAAATCTCTGTAGCTTTATCATGATTCCTCGTCATGATATTCTGAAGTGTAACTCATATGTCAGAGGGTCGTGAAGTTGAGCTAAAGCTCAAGGTTGTAGTGGGAACGCTCAAGCTAAACGAAGATAGGAACTATTGTAAGGGTTTGACCATCATTTTCCTTTAGAATAATTCAAGCTAAGAGTCACATTTGTTGTTTACCCACAGGAGCAGCTCAACAACCTGATGAAGACCCTCAACGCCACTCACCCCCACTTCATCCGATGCATCGTCCCCAACGAGACCAAGTCCCCAGGTAGGTAGCCTCATATGATAACTGTTACTAATAATAATTACTTAGTATTACTAATAAGTATCATTTATTATAATTAAACACTGTTATCCCTTACGAGATCAACTTCCCAAGCCTCATATATATATATGCTGTATTATGTCGATGAGACCAAGTCCCCGAATTAGTACCCAGCACACAAAACGTTTCTCTAACATTTCATTTTGAATTAATTGTAGAAAGGTCACACTGTAACTATTTATAAAGCCTTTTTTTAACATTTAAAATATGTTAATTTCCATCAACCGAATTTTAGACCTTTTAGCTAACGTACATATGACGTTTTTATGATGTGTGTTCATACGTCTGTTGGTGATAGCCTCAACCTGGCCTCTTAATTTTTCCTTTTTTTGAACGATATTTGTTCTTGACTTAAAGGTACTTGCACATATATTATCACCCATTTTTAAAGCACTAAATGTTAATGTTATGAATTAAATGATTTTCCTTGATGATTGAACATTCAAAAATAAATAATTTGTCAAATGTTACATAAACAGCTTGTGTTATTTTGTATTGAGTACAGACTTGCTGACATTTAAACTCATCCTGGTGAGTAATCGGCAACAGTCCTCTAGTTCCCACTTCCCAGCTCGAAACTGCAGCAAAAATACTTTTTGTCTCTCAGAACCATATGTTTAAAACTGGCTTCAAGACCTGAGTTCTTTCTCTCTCTCTTGCAGGTGTCATTGACGCGGCCCTTGTCATGCACCAGCTGACCTGTAACGGTGTGCTTGAGGGCATCCGTATCTGCCGTAAGGGCTTCCCCAACAGGATTCCCTACAAGGACTTCAGGCACCGGTGAGTTGGTATTCGGGCCTCGAGGGGTATCCCTACAACTATCATGATGGACTGTATTGGTAATTTCAGAGGTAATATTAAAACAGAGAACCGACTTCTACAAATATTGATCCTGTACTCTGTCCTCGACGTCTTGTCACACTTCCCTTCCAGACACTTCCCCCATCTCCCATCCCTTCTCAGCCTCCCTCCCTCCCTCCCATCCCTTCTCAGCCCCCCTCCCTCCCAGTTCTATTACTACCCCCTTCCCACCAGCAACCTCTCCACCACACAGCTGCTCCCAGCACACCAATCACCCCCTATGCCCCTGATGCCCATCAACCACCCTCCCATATCTACAACTGCCCTTCTTTCCCCAACACCACGTCTCTAATGAGGCATTATTTCCCCATCACCAGAGCCACACCCCATGGCAGTGTGGCTACCCAAGCCCCATGTACGTGTAGTTCTGCCTGTGGGTTTATTCCCCTCTTCTATCTTAGACAACATATTAGTAAATGGTGCTATACGAATGCTGTTACTATGTCATTCAACATCTTTCAGTGACAACTTGAATTATGCTATAAAGATTGTGCACAGTTTAATGATAGTATTATTGGCTGTCAGCATTCGTGTCACCAGCTGCTGGTATTTAATATTAGTAGTTCATGATTCAACTTCATCCCGTGGAAAAAATATTGCCTAATTTTGGTTGTTGTTATTTGCTGCTTATTTCAAACTCGAATCATTTATACAGTTACAAAACTGCTCAGGAAAAATATGTAATTTCTCCTCATCTATTACCTCTTTCTCTCTATGCCTTTGTATTCTCTGTCTCTCTCTCTTTCTAAATACTGTACTGTAAAGTCATTCTGGCTTAGCACTCTTCCTCATAATTTTATTTCCTCACTTGTTACTTCATTGAGTACTGAGTTATTGATCCACAAGAAGAGAGTGCCAGTGAGTGCCATGGCACAAGTCTCCTCCTGCAAGTGCTTGATGGACGCCCCTTCCTTCCGTAGTTACAAGATCCTGGCCACCAAGGAGATGGACTCGATTTCTGACGATAAGGAGGCCGCAAAGGCTTGCTTCGATAAGGCTGGCCTGAACGAGGAGTTGTACCGCACGGGCAATACTAAGGTCTTTAAGGACAATTCAAAGTCATCCCCCCAAACATCCCCACCCTCCCCCGCCACCTCCTATAAATTTTCCCTGATTTGACCCTGTAACTTGGTTTCTATTTGCACCCTCAGAGACTCTTGCTGCATCATGCATTTGAGGAAGCGTTGATTTCTGTGATTCTTCTCTTTAACCATTTTACTGTTTCCGTGAATGTCTTTACCCCCACTCCTTTATTGTTGTGTTTACCTTCCATGGGCCTTGACACCAGTGGCTACAGCGGAGTACCCGGCCTGCGGCTTCCCTACGTATATTCCCTTGCATATATCTGGCCTCCGGCCCAGTTTTGTGTCAAAAGTATTCTCCAGCATCCTGATAATAACATTTCCCAAAGCCTAATACTTACAAAACAAAAAAAACGTTCACTGAAAGGAAAGTGTTGACGTTGGTTTTGTTACGTGAGAACCAAAGATATCATATCAGTTCTTTGGTAAGGATTTACCCCGTGACTAAAATTGGAAATTTGACTCAAAAGCTAATATCCCCGCCCCAGCCTCAGTACCCCCAGCCCCAGAACCCCCAGCCCCAGTACCCCCAGCCCCAGTACCCCCCTTCCCAGCACTCCTCCCATCCCCACCCACCACTACCACCCCGAATTTGGCTTGATCCTCCCACTCTTTGGTTTTTCCCCTCTCAACTATGACAATTTGTTACCGCTTTATGTAGCACTTGATTTCTAATACTGATTGATGCATGTGCAACGTATTGAACCCCTGAGTCTTACCACAGGTATGTAACACAGCCACAGAGGTGACATAGCTGCGGGGCTGCACTGTGGCGCGCCTCGATCCTCCTTTCCCAAATGTTGCTCCCTTTTATTTTATTTACATTTACTTGCTATTTGGAAACCAAATGTAAATGAACACTGGTGTCACATCAAATCAGCAAGTTAAATAGTGTGCAATTTGTTTATAGGGTGCTTGTTATATATTCAAGGAAGATTATATATGTCAATTACTTATCAAGGAGCTTGTTGGGAAAGTCATGAATGCCGCTAAGGCCTAAGGTCATTAGGCTGGGGAGTTGCAACAGAATTTTTATATTTATATATATATATAGTGCTCAATAATAAAAAGTGGCAATTATTAAACTTATGTTTTGCTGAGATCATTTAGCTTTTCACAATGAAATAGGCGATTTCTGTGTATATAAAATTTGTGTGTGCTGTTTGTCCATGATGCACACAGTCTTGATTCACATTAATTTGGGAACAAAACACTTTGTACCAGTTCATCCTCATACTGATGCGTCCCTTATACCTTGGCTTTCACGTGACTATTTTGCACAGGTGTTCTTCCGTGCTGGTGTCTTGGGTACTCTGGAGGAGATTCGTGACGACAAACTGGCTCACCTGATCACAGGACTTCAGTCGTGGATCCGAGGCTACCTCAGCCGAAACAACTACAAGAAGCTCCAAGAGCAGCGCGTCGCTCTGATCGTCGTCCAGCGTAACCTGAGGAAGTTCATGAAGTTGCGTAACTGGGGTTGGTTCAGGCTGTGGCAGAAGGTCAAGCCCCTCCTCAATGTCACCCGCATTGAGGACGAGATGAAGGCTCTTGAAGAGAAGGCTGCCAAGGCTCTCGAAGAACTCGAGAAAGAAACCAAGCTTCGAAAGGCACTAGAAGCTGCAAACATGGCGCTGCAAGAAGAAAAGAATAACCTTCAACTTACTCTGGAATCTACCAAGGGCAACGTGTCAGACTTCCTTGACAAGCAAGCCAAACTGCAAAGTCAAAAGGCCGACCTGGAAGCTCAGCTAAATGTAAGACTACCATTGAATTACTTGGATAAAATCCACAACTAAAAAAACTATTGACCTCAATCTCTATTTTCACAATTGCATCTTATTTATATTGTTGATTATACTATTGGTTTAAATACTGGTGTGATACTTGTTAATATACTTGAACGTTATTAAACTTTAGCAATGTATATTATGTTTGGGATATGGGCTTTCATGCATAAACATATATATTTTTTTTAACTTTCAGGAAGTCACTGCCCGTCTGCAGCAAGAAGAAGATGCTCGCAATTCGCTCTTCCAAGGCAAGAAAAAGACTGAGCAGGAGATTGGTGGCTTGAAGAAGGATCTTGAAGATGTTGAACTAGTTGTCCAGAGACTGGAACAGGAGAGGGCCACCAAGGATCACCAGATCCATAACCTCAACGAAGAGATTTCTCATCAAGAGGAACTTATCAACAAGGTCAACAAGGAGAAGAAACATCTTCAGGAATGCAACCAGAAGACCGCCGAAGATCTCCAGGGCATCGAAGACAAATGCAACCACCTGAGCAAGGTTAAATCCAAGCTGGAGCAAACTCTCGATGAACTTGAAGATTCCCTTGAGCGAGAAAAGAAGCTCCGAAGTGAAATCGAGAAGTCCAAGAGGAAGGTTGAGGGCGATCTCAAACTTACCCAGGAGGCGGTGGCAGACCTGGAGCGCAATCAAAAGGAAATCGAGAACACTGTCCAGCGCAAGGATAAGGAAATCACTAGTCTTTCCGGGAAGCTAGAAGAAGAACAGATCCTCGTGTCAAGAACCCAGAAGCAGGTCAAGGAGTTGCAGGCCCGCATCGAGGAGCTGGAACAGGAGGTTGAACATGAACGTCAGTCTCGCGCCAAGGCTGAGAAGGCCAAAGCAAACTTGGCTCGTGAGTTAGGAGATCTCAGCGACCGCTTGGAAGAAGCCGGCGGCGCGACAGCGGCTCAGATCGAGCTGAACAAGAAGCGCGAGTCAGAGTTGGCGAAGCTGCGCCGCGACTTGGAGGAGACCAACATCCAGCAAGAGGCTGCCCTCGCCAACCTCCGCAAGAAGCATAATGATGCAATCAACGAGATGTCTGACCAAATTGACCATCTCAACAAGCTGAAAGCAAGGTAAATGTCTAGATGTCTTGCAAACATATGTGTTAAATAATTCATATGAAGAACTTACTATACTCAATATACATTCCTGGTTCTTACAGATATTAAGCTATTATAAACATGACTTGTGTAAAACCTGTTTATAACTTGTTATAACAGGACCGAGAAGGACAAGGACGCCATGAAGCGCGAGGCTGACGACGCCAAGGCTGCCATGGACGCTCTTGCTCGCGACAAGGTAAGCAATAGACGACGCACTGGAGCAACATACATCTTGCAAAAGGGGAATACAAATACACCGAGAGGTCTATTTTGCAATACATCTTACAACTTCCGTGCTAATTTTCCGTCTGATGTCTCTTTGAATTTTATTAATTTTTGTTTTAAATTATCTGAAGAAATGTATAACACACACACAAGTGATATATATGCATATATAACGAAATATGTACCCAATTCATAGACGAATATACACTGAGAGTATACGTGTGTCCTGAATTATGTTCAGGACTAAAGTATGCTTGCTGGTTGATACACCTTTAACCCTGTATCAAACAAACCAACAACTGAAATGTAAACACCTTCTCTTTACACAAGAACACAATAAGATTCACATAGACTTGACACCATGTTTAAGATCTGGGCGCCATTAATATCCATCGCTACATAATACATTGTTTATACTCTCAATTGTATTTTACCTTGACCAGGCGGCTGCCGAGAAGACTACCAAACAACTCCAGCACCAGATGAACGAAATCCACTCCAAGCTCGACGAAGCCAACCGCACCCTCAACGACTTCGATGCCTCTAAGAAGAAGCTCGCTGCTGAGAACTCCGATCTTCTGCGCCAAGTGGAGGAAGCTGAGAACCAGATTGGACAGCTTTCTAAGATTAAGCTGTCACTTACTAACCAGCTTGAAGACCAGAGGAAACTTGCTGATGACGAAAGCAGAGTAAGTTTCGAATCTATCATATGCATATATGTATAAAACATTCAGAGCTAAATCATCATATGCAGTACTCGTAACTATGAAATTTCCTTAACCATTCTTTCCTTGCAGGAGCGTGCTACTCTTCTTGGTAAGTACCGCAACCTGGAGCACGACATTGACGGTCTTCGCGAGCAGCTCGAAGAAGAGAGTGAGGGCAAGGCTGATATTCAGCGCCAATTATCCAAGGCAAATGCCGAGGCTCAACTGTGGCGTGCGAAGTATGAGTCTGAGGGCATCGCTCGCTGCGAGGAGCTGGAGGCTGCCCGCTTGAAGCTTGCAGCTCGCCTCGAAGAAGCAGAGGATCAAATTGAACAACTTAACGTTAAAAATATGACCCTTGAGAAGACAAGGCAGCGCATTGCCACCGAGCTTGAGGACATGCAGATCGAGGTCGAACGTGCCCAAGCTCTGGCCAACGCCGCCGAGAAGAAGCAGAAGAACTTCGACAGGATCATCTCAGAATGGAAGATGAAGGTCGACGATCTTGCTGCTGAGCTTGATGCTTCCCAGAAGGAATGTCGCAACTACTCCACCGAGCACTTCCGCATTAAGGCCGCCTACGAAGAGAATCTCGAGCAGCTGGACGCTGTTCGCCGAGAGAACAAGAACCTTGCTGATGAGATCAAGGACTTGATGGACCAGATTGGTGAAGGTGGACGAACTCTCCACGAGATTCAGAAGAACGCTAAGCGTCTTGAAATCGAGAAGGAAGAGCTCCAAGCTGCACTTGAGGAGGCCGAGGCCGCCTTGGAACAAGAGGAGAACAAGGTGCTCCGTGCCCAGCTGGAACTCAGCCAAGTGCGACAGGAGATTGACAGGCGTATCCAGGAGAAGGAAGAAGAGTTTGAAAACACTCGGTAAGCAAAGTTAATGGTTTTAGGGGTATAATTTATAAAAAGATCAGTCTAAATTTTAGTATCATCTACTGAGTTTCTTAAAATGTTTAATAGAATCTACTTAGCTTTGTTAGAACGAACCAAAATGCATGATTATCAATATTAACAGTACTGAATGTTCACATTCCGGCTGACAAACAAATATAGTCTAAATAAGAACAAAATATTAACTTGGAAGGTAGTATAAAGTAGGGGTATTAAAGCTTTTTCATATTAAGTCTTACCTTTCCTTATGTTGACAGCAAGTGCCACCAGCGGGCTATCGACTCTATGCAAGCTTCCCTGGAGGCTGAAGCTAAGGCCAAGGCCGAGGCTCTTCGGCTGAAGAAGAAGCTGGAGTCTGACATCAACGAGCTGGAGATTGCTCTTGACCATTCCAACAAAGCCAACGCCGACCTGCAGAAACATGTCAAGAAACTCCAGGGTGAAATTAAGGATCTCCAGATCCGGGTTGAAGAAGAACAGCGTCTTGCCTCAGAGTACCGGGAGCAGTATGGTATTGCTGAACGCCGGGCCAACGCCCTCAACGGAGAACTGGAAGAATCCCGCACGCTTCTTGAGCAGTCTGACCGTGGTCGCCGACAGGCCGAAGCTGAACTGGCTGAAGCTACCGAAAGCATTGCTGGGCTTGCTGCTCAGAACGGATCCCTCAATGCTGCCAAGAGGAAGCTTGAAGGAGAGATTCAGACCATGCATGTGAGTTTCTCTTGCTCTTGGGGCTATTACGTTCTTTTGTGACATTCGTATTATCAACAAAATAACATATACACGAAAATATTTCAAATTCATAAATAACCCACTGTGAATAGAACAGGTAAGCTTAATGTGTATATATTACTGACAATATCATTATTGCAGGTGTATTTCCACATAATGTGTATTCAATGGCACTTACATATGAAGCATGTTTGTGGTATCTTTCACATATATATATATTTTCATTTAAAATTTACAGGCTGACCTGGACGAGATGCTGAACGAGGCCAAGAACTCCGAGGAGAAGGCCAAGAAGGCCATGGTTGACGCCGCGCGCCTGGCTGACGAACTCCGCGCGGAGCAGGAACACGCCCAGACGCAGGAGAAGATGCGCAAGGGACTGGAAGTTTCCGTCAAGGAGCTCCAGATTCGTCTTGAGGAAGTCGAAACTAACGCAATTAAGAACACCAAGAAGGCCTTGGGCAAACTGGAGAGCCGCGTTCGCGAACTGGAAAGCCAGCTGGATGACGAATCCCGCCGTCACTCTGATGCCCAGAAGAACCTGAGGAAGTGTGAGAGGCGCATCAAGGAGCTCACCTTCCAGTCCGACGAGGACAAGAAGAACCACGAGAGGATGCAGGACCTGGTGGACGCCCTTCAACAGAAGGTGAAGACCTACAAGCGCCAGATCGAGGAGGCCGAGGAGATCGCCGCCCTGAACTTGGCCAAGTTCCGCAAGGCCCAGCAGGAACTGGAGGAGGCTGAAGGCCGCGCGTAAGCCACCACCATGGACACAAAATTCAGTAGGGGGAAAGACTCGCCAAGAACAGTACAAACTATAATATTGCGCTGGTCAAAAGATTCTTTTCTAGTGCTTATGTAAACAGCTAATTGTGTACAATGTGTACTAATTGGTCATATATATGTTTATTTAATTATAGGAACAGGTACACAGCATATAATTGTTGGTATTTAATATGCAACCAGTGCAAGCTGCTGTCCGAAATATTGACTTTTTTAGAACCGCAAAAAGTAGCTCGAACCATAATAAATTACATTTATACACATTTGTATTACATATAGAGTGTAGGTATCACAATAAATATCTAAGTAAACATTTGTTTTACTGAAACACAATTATTATATATAATATATATATAACTGAAAGGGTTATATCAATTATTCTTGACCGAATCTTCTCTATATTTTTTACTAAGTGGGGACCCAGCGGCGCCCGGGTCTCTACCTCACCGTCTCTCATTTCTCTTCCCCTCTCCTTCTCTCCACTCTCCATCTTTCTTCATCCCGCTCTCACTCCTCTCCTCCCTCTGCTCACCACCTTCTCTTTTAAATTCCCCTCCCCCCTCTAATCCTGCTCTACCTCTCATGGTTGTCTTTCTCTATTCTCTATCTCAATCTTTCTCCTCATTCTCCCCCCCCCCCATCCCTCTCGCACAGCCTATAGTCACATTGCCTTAGCCCTTACTCATAACTTTTCTTCAACATCTTGATACTCTCCTTCTCCATTCCCATTCTTTCTATCTTTCTCAACCTTCTTTTCCAATCTCTCTTCCCTTCTTCCACTCTCCTTCCCTCTTCCACCTTTCTTCTCCTCTCTGTTTTACCCCTCTTCCAACATTACCCTTATCTGTTTCTTATTCTCTCCCCCCCTCCCTCCTCTCTTTTCTACTCTCTTTTTACCAGAAAATGTAATACAGTGAAGCACTGAAATTCTAAATACGTCTACGGAAAACACAACCTTTATTTCAGTCTTGACTGCATGAAAATTGCTTGGGGGTGGCTATACATGTCGATATTTCTTAAAGTGTGGTACTGGGGCCGACCCTGACTGGCCTGTGTCAATCTCATATTTCCCATGATTTTTCTTGGAAATTGGGACGAGACTAGCCCCAAGCGTCTAGCCTTTCTCGGCCAGACAAATAAGATATTTTTAACAAATTCACAAGGGCCGTGACGAGGATTCGAACCTACGTCCGAGAGCATCCCAGACGCTGCCTTAATCAACTGAGCTACGACTACGATTAAGGCAGCATCTGGGATGCTCTCGGACGTAGGTTCAAATCCTCGTCACGGCCCTTGTGGATTTGTTCATTTGATGCATCACGCTATTGTGATTTCTGTGTGTAACAGATATTTTGTTTTATAGATATAGATGTTCTTCTCCTGAAAAGAGAATTAAAGAAAATGGCTCTTAACTCCATTTTACACTATAAAGGGATCTGGTGCTAAGGAATTCGTTCTCACCTTCCCAAAAAATAAACAGCGTGCAAAATGGAAAGTATTCAACACCCGCGCCACAGCTTAGATCATTGTGAACACAGACAAGGTCGGAAAGAAACAGCTATAGTGTGTGTGTCAAGTAGATCATCTCAGACCATCAACACACATTCATCCGCCACACTTCAGCCTCCATCCCATGATGTTGTACGTTCCGCTACATGAAGGGCGTTACCGCTACATAGAGCGCGTTACCGCTACATAAAGTGCATTACTGCAACATAAAGTGCGTTACCGCTAACACTGAGGTTACGGGCTATTCATGCCCGTGCCACCTCTTGGGTGGCTTAATCTTCATCAATTAATCTAACACTGAGGGGTTTGGCTCCCCTCACTGTGCCCAACCACTTGGGCTGGACGGTAGAGCGACAGGTCTCGCTTCATGCAGGTCGGCACTCAATCCCCGACCGTCCAAGTAGTTGGGTGATATTCCTCCCCCACCCACTCCCCACCGTCTCACCCCAAATGCTCATATCCTGATCCCTTCCAAGTGCTATATAGTCTAATAGCTTGGCGCTTTACCCTGATAATTCCATTTCCTTCCCCTCACTGTGTAAACAACGACAGGTTGCGGTGTCTGTTGGTCGGTAAGCTAAACCCGTGTCCTCCAGAGTCTTCCAGAGTTTTCCAGAGGCCTCCAGAGGCCTCCAGCGGCCTCCAGAGTTTTCCAGAGTCCTCCAGAGACCTCTAGAGTTTTCCAGAGTCCTCCAGAGTTTTCCAGAATCCTCCAGAGGCCTCCAGAGTTTTCCAGAGTTTTCCAGAGTCCTCCAGAGTTTTCCAGAGTCCTCCAGAGACCTCTAGAGTTTTCCAGAGTTTTCCAGAGTCCTCCAGAGGCCTCTAGAATTTTCCAGAGGCCTCCAGAGTTTCCAGAATCCTCCAGAGGCCTCCAGAGTGTTCCAGAATCCTCCAGAGGCCTCCAGAGTCTTCCAGAGTCCTCCAAAGTCCTCCAGAGTTTTCCAGAGTCCTCCAGACACCTCCAGAGTATTCCAAAGCCTTCCAGAGGATGATATGGGCCTTTTTTCAGTTCTGGACTCTGTAGAGGAAGCAAGTACACTGGTTGGTTGATCAGTCGGTAGGAGTGTAATAATATATTTTTTTTTGTGGTAGAGTGGTGGTGGTAGGGTGGTTTGGTGGTAGTGGTAGTCTGTGGTAGGGTGGTGGTAGAATTATGGTGGCAGGGTAATAGTATTATGATTGGTGGTATCTTGCTGGTAGAATGGCTAGTGGTAGGATGAGTGGTGGTGGTAGGATAGGCAGTTTTTTTTTCTACCACAAACGTGGCCACACATTTACAATGCTAACCAGCAGTATATACATTTTCTTCTGTCCTCCATAGACAGGGTTAGAGATCAGTTAAACATATAGTTCAGGGATTTATTGAACAATCAGGATAGGCAGTGGTAGAATAGGCGGTGATCGTATGGGTTCTGACAAGATGAATGGTGGTAAGATGGGTGATGGTAGTAGGATTGGTTGAACTAGGACGCGGGGGATGAAGGATGAGTGGTGGTAGGATGGTTGGTGGTAGAAGCAGCATATGAGTGGTGGTGGTGGTAGGATGGATAGAACTATAATGGATGTGGTAGACATGGGACCATCTATACAAGTTGGAGCAGGAAACCAGCACCAAGAACGTAGACCAGTCGTGTATGGTAGACGGTACGAGGCCGGGTGAGGGCTCGGGGATAGTGTTGGCAAGGGGATCGAGGCTCACGCGCCACCAGAATAACATGGCCACAAAAACAAACGCTGTTGTGGTAGGAATATGTAGGCTTTTGTAACATTCAGAGTGTTGCTGGCCAGTGACTCTCTACCCTCCGGTGGCCCTCTATTCCTGGTGGCCCGTTTAGCCCTGGTGGCCCTCTAGCCTTCGTGGTCCTCTTGTCTCAGTGGCTATGTCTAGCCTCGATTGCCTTTTCTATTCTTGCTGGCTTTGAAACATAGTTTTTTCCACTCTCTCGACCAAGCCCTACATTCTTAACATCGTTGACTATCCCTCATCTTCTGGGGTCCCACCTGGTATCAGAACCCCTCTCCCTTGCCATGGAGCCCTCACTCCCCTCAGGATCCTTTTCCTCGTCTTGATGCCTTTTCTGGATGCTGGAGACCTTCTCTCATCTCGGGAGGGGGCCCCTAACTCGCTTCGGATGTCATTTTTACTTCAGTATCTCCTCTCACGACTTCAGCGAGTCCCTCTCATTGGGGCACGTTTTTGTCTCGGGCGCTCTTCTCGTTTCAGGAGCCTTCTGACCCCGCCATCCCAGGCTTCGATATCCAATGTTGGCCTTCTCGAACCTCAGTAGATCTTCTTCGATCTTGATGACCTCTCTAATTTCGGCACCAATTCTCCTTTACGACGTTGCCTGACCTGGGTGACTTTCTCAACCTCGTGGACCAACTTGACGTTAGCTCTGCTCTGTCGATCTACTGAATGCCATTCTTTTATCATTGGGGCTCCCTTTACCTCAAGGACCACTCTTTGGGGGTCCCTTTACCTCAAGGACCACTCATTGGAGCTTTTTTCTCTAGTGGGTTCTTGGCGCTTAGGTGTCCTTCACTCCCTATGATGACCCGTCTGGCCTTGCGTGCCCTTAATTCTCTCCCCAAGGATCCCCTTCCCTCCCTCCCTCTCTCTCGGGATAGTGACCCTTTTTGCTTTGTTAACCCTTGATACTCATCGAGGACCCTCAGCATGGTGAACCCATCCCGATATGAAGGCGATTTTATTCGGCTCAGACTATGGTCATTCAGTCTAGGCGATGATGTCTTCACTTGCTGTAGTTGTATTCCTTAAACTACCTCTGATTTGTCTCTAGGCATCTCCGTTTTCTATTCATATTTTTGTATAAGGCGTATTTAAACAGACCTGTCAAAACAAACATTTTAGGGTAGATATGTGTTTAAGTCTGTACCCCCATAAAAAAAGAACCAAGGGAGCGCCCTCACTAACGCTCCCGCCACACCCTAGCTAACTCTATTTCCACCTCTGGTGTCCCCCCGGCACGCGGAAGACCGGCCTGGCAGCCTGCCCATACAGGGGTTGGCTCACCCACACACTTAACCGGCTGCTTCTCCCCCGCCCGCTCAGACCACTGATAAATAATCCGTGTAAAGTAAACCAACAACCTCGCTCCTGTGCCAGGTAAGTCCGCAACGGGCTCACCATAGCCCCGCTCCTGTGCCAGGTAAGTAAACTACGGGCTCACCATAGCCCCGCTCCTGTGCCAGGTAAGTAAACTACGGGCTCACCATAGCCCCGCTCCTGTGCCAGGTAAGTAAACTACGGGCTCACCATAGCCCCGCTCCTGTGCCAGGTAAGTAAACTACGGGCTCACCATAGCCCCGCTTCTGTGCCAGGTAAGTCCACTACGAGCTCACCATAGCCCCGCTCCTGTGCCAGGTAAGTCCACTACGAGCTCACCATAGCCCCGCTCCTGTGCCAGGTAAGTCCACTACGGTCTCACCACAGCCCCGCTCCTGTGCCAGGTAAGTCCACTACGGGCTCACTATAGCCCCGCTCCTGTGCCAGGTAAGTCCACTACGGGCTCACCACAGCCCCGCTTTTGTACCAGGTAAGTCCACTACGGGCTCACCATAGCCCGTGCTACTTGGAACGTTTTGTTCCGAGAAGTTGAATCTAAAACAACAACAGAATACCAATAATGGTAAATGAATTTATATTACTTAGAACTATTTTGCAAATTAGCACAAAGACGGTTTAATAGAACATATATAAGAGCTAGCTATGCATATCTAGCCATCAGTCAATATATGTGTTTTGATGTACTTTAGGTGTGCACTCGTCAATACCTCCCCTGCATGGTATTTCAAGGTGTAGAAGCTTGAAAGTGGACGAGTGTGACTTGTACGAGCATAACCTGAGGATGGCTGACCAACCTCTGTCTATAATGTTCAAGTTACTGCCTTTCCAAGCCTATTCACAGGCCGTCCCCAGAGATGTATTTGACAATGTTTCCGTATTGTGTAATCAGAATGGTACCTTTCTTAAACAAGGTATTTTATGTTATTATATATAATAATGACTTGATTTAAGTCAAGGTTTTATTCGATATTGTGGTTATGTCGATAGTTATTTGGATGTGAACCCATGCTCAGGCATTATATTGAACCTCGTGTGTCTGTACGAGGGTGGAGACCAGACACTTGGGACTAGCCTCATTAAACTTTGCAGGATTAATTATGATTTTGTAGTATCATAGGAAGGACGAGATTGTCCTAGTTCCTACATAAAGGGGACACGGCCCCCACTGTCCCTTCTTCACGAAGTCTGTGGATGTGAAATGCTATGCCCCAAGTTCATAGACTTCAGAATGAATTAAATAAATAATAACTGACATTGGCTTTAAAAAGTGATGACAGTTTGTATTCTGGATGCAATCGTTTGGTTTCAGTACTGGCGAGTGTATATTAAAAGTTGTTAACAGTAATTGAGGACACTTGAAGGGTGGACGAACAGAGAACGGGTCTACCCGGGCACCTGTGGATGTAGCCAAACGGTTCCATCCAGAAAATATGTATATATATATATATATATATATATATATATATATATATATATATATATATATATATATATATATATATATATATAAGGGGAAGTTCTGTTTTCTAGAGGCTGTAAATTTCTTCACTCCTCCGACGCTGGGCAGGAATGGAGGATGCAGTGAGCATTCCCCCTCTGGACTGCCGCACTGAGGCGCTGGAAAAGAAAACTTGCCGCTCTAGGGTCCCTTGTAGCTTCAATGAGCCTGGAACCAAGATCCTTAAGAAACCTCCTTGCACTCTCTCCAATAGTGATTCTATTGGAACGAAGTTGTACTTGTGATCTATTTCCCTGTACTTGGTTGACGTGTCTCTTTCTCTGTCTGTCGGCCAAGCAGCTCCAGCTTGGCTGACAGAGAGGGTGATGTATGTGGTAGCAAGGACGGATATGCAAGTATAGTCCCATGCCAATTGTCTGAAATTTTTCCAAGGGTGCAGTGTGATTCCATCTGGTCGGTCAGCAAAGCTAACAGAGTTACGGTTAAATAAAATTTTGAGGCTCTCTCTCTCTCTCTGCTGGACACTGGGCAGAGGCAAGGCTCCTCTTAATGTCATTGACTTCGTCGCGTCGTGAGTGCCAACTGCCTGACTTTCCAGTGTAGGCCATGCAATCCATATTCGTCTGTATCTGCCTCACCGCAAATACACCTATGAACAGTGTGGATAGGGGCAGCAAGGCAGAAAGCGACTGCAATACGGAGCTGCTTCAGATCAAGACGTGTGCCTGTCGCACATATAGGGACTGCCAAAAAAAAGTCCCCTGCATGGGGGGCCTGCACACCTGTGAGGCACGTACGATCACTGTCACGATATAATATTATATATATATATATATATATATATATATATATATATATATATATATATATATATATATATATACATATTGCAACTGGTATATCAATGCTGTAACTTACTTATAGCTAAATTAATTTTGGGATTCAGTTCCTGAACTTATTATTACTGCCCGAAACGCTTTGCGTAATAGTGGCTTTAGGCATTGTATGTACTAGCTCCATCTATAAATCGTTCAATTTATGTAAAATCTCTTGTATGTATGTACCTTACCTGAATATATATATATATATATATATATATATATATATATATATATATATATATATATATATATATATATATATATATATGATAATGATATTTATGTTTAATTATTGCGTAGCATGTGAATAATTGCCAAAGTGATAAAGTAAATTATTCATAAAGATTATCCTGTTTTCTGAACTGAGAATTAAATCAATTGTCACGAAACTCTGTAGCTGCCGTAGTCTACTGAAACACCTCTGCCAGTATTAATTCGTATGTCAGCGAGCCTGTTTATATATATAATATTTTTTCATTTAGTTATTTGGTATATATTGTTATATGAGCAATAATTTTCTTCCTCCTCTCAGGAGGATCTTGTGACGAATGTTTGACAAAACTAGATCGGATTTTGCACACCGCAGACATAGTGCTAGAATGTGTAATCACCGGACATTTGGGCAGTTCCCGAGACCAGTTGAGACTCACAGTGCCAACATCATACTCAACAGAAGACGCCATACTCAGTTATGGAAGGCAATAAGGGCATATAACCTCCCCGTTGGTTCCGTGTCTACCTCACATCTTCCATCTGTATACACGTGTGACATTACAGGTTAGAGTACCCTAATCAATATCTTTAAGAGAAAGTGTGTCTGTCCAAGGATGGAGGTCAGACGCTTGGGGCTAGTCTCACCCAACTTTTGCACATTAAGCGTGTGGGATATAGGAGTGTCATAGGTCAGTCGGGGTCGGCTCCAGTGCCATACTTTAAGAAATATCGGCATCTAACCCTTCCTTCTTTCCTTCCCTGTCAGATTTTAACGAAGACAAGTTTGAAACATTGGTTGTGATATCCATAGACTTATTTAGTAGTTTTAGTTCTGCATTATATTTTATCTGCGAGAGACAGAAGGAAAATGCGGGGCGGTTGAGCGATGATTGAAGAGAGGACGAGAAATGGAAAGTTTGATATGAGGGGAAGTGAGAGATGGAGAAGAAAAGTAGAGGGTGGGAGAATGGAGAGAGAGGGGAAGAAGATTGGGAGAAAGGGGGAGGAAAGAAGGAGAGGGTAGAAAGAGTCACGACATGGTAAAAGAATTGCAACCAGGAGTGCTATGTTCTACGACTGTGTTGAAGCCTGAGGAACCTACAAGAGGAAGAAAAGCAAGTATTTGGCGAAATGAGAAAAGGGGGATCTCAGCCCTACTCCATAACTCTCGTGGGGTCCAACGGTGAGTTGGGGTCCTCCGGGGACGTACTGGGGTCCCTTGGCTGGGTTGCCAGGGGGGGGGGAGATGGGGGGACGTGATGCAAACCATATAAAACGTTAAAATTAAAATTGGAAAGTTAATTTTTCAACTCAAGTGGAGAGGCTCATAAGAAATATAGTGAAGATATTTACATTTTCTTTTACAAATTATTTTTCAATTTGAAATAAGAATAAACTGTAAATAATATTCGAGTATTTCTTCTATGAATTATTTTCCAGATTGATGTCAGGGAATATTTAATTATATTAATTACATTCAAATGAGATGTATATTTTGTACGTGAGTAAAAGTCAACTTAAAAAATATATGTCACTCATTACAGAATTACTCAACTGAAATGCCCACATATAACTGTAAAACCTGGCCCCATAATGCTATGGTCATGAATTACTGCTACTTTGCTTTGTGAATTAATTTGTGGTCTGATATTATCAATATTCTAATTTCTGGCATAAACAAAATGTAAACAAAGATTCGTTTACTCAGTTACAGTTTCTGATAAAGTAATACAAATTTTTGTTTCATTTATCCGAGCTTCATCATTACGTTGAAAGAACGTGTTAGCAATTCATTACAAAAATCCTGAGGTTTGGAATATGAAGATGCAATCGTTGATCGACGTTTACACCATCAGGTTAGTGGTTGTCTGCACCGCGGGGCCGAGACCGCGTTCTTCAGCTTCGTCTAGTTCCTGCTGGGCTTTGCGGTATTTGGCCAAGTTCAGGGCGGCGATTTCTTCGGCCTCTTCGATCTGTCGCTTGTAGGTCTTGATCTTCTGTTGCAGCTTGTCCACCAGGTCTTGCATCTTCTCGTGGTTCTTCTTGTCCTCGTCGGACTGGAAGGTGAGCTCCTTCATCCGCCTCTCACACTTCCTCAGGTTCTTTTGGGCATCAGAGTGACGGCGGGCCTCCTCGTCTAGCTGGCTTTCCAGCTCACGAACGCGAACTTCCAGCTTCCCCATAGATTTCTTGTTGTTCTTAATAGCATTGCTTTCACTGTCCTCCAGTCGGGCTTGCAGCTCTTTAACGGTTAGCTCTAGGGCTTTGCGCATCTTCTCCTGCGTCTGGGCGTGTTCCTGCTCCGCGCGGAGTTCGTCAGCCAGGCGCGCGGCGTCAACCATGGCCTTCTTGGCCTTCTCCTCGGAGTTCTTGGCCTCGTTCAGCATCTCGTCCAGGTCAGCCTTTGGAACAGAGTAGATATATAACAATAACAGATTCTATGCAGGTCTTCCTGCATAATATTATAAAACTGCTTAAAATACTGCAATGATACATATGCATTTTTAAAAGATTTTAATCATATAACTTGGTTTTGAGAATGCTGGTATGGCATTAAGTAGGAACCTAAATTACTACTTACATGAATGGTCTGTATTTCGCTTTCCAGCTTCCTCTTAACTACAGTGAGAGAGTTGTTCTGAGCGGTGAGGGCACTCAGTTGTTCCTGGCAGTCACTAAGCTCACACTCAGCGTACCGACGACCGCGATCAGACTGTTCCAGGAGGCTCCTCGACTCTTCGAGTTCCGCGTGGAGGGCATTGGCGCGACGCTCTGAAATACTATGCTGTTCGCGGTACTCAGAAGACAAGCGATGTTCATCCTCAATTAGGACTTGTTGATCCTTCATCTCAACCTGGAGCTTCTTGATGTGCTTCTGGAGTTCAAAGTTCGCCTTGTTAGAATGATCAAGAGTGATTTCCAGTTCGTTAATGTCGGACTCCAGCTTCTTCTTCAGGCGAAGAGCGTCGGCCTTGCCCTTGGCTTCAGCTTCAAGGGAAGCCTGCATAGAATCAATAGCGCGCTGATGGCATTTTCTGGAAAGTAAAGAAAAAGGATAGTCAAAATGATCAGGCATTGGTATTTGTTATAAACATTAATTACAACATATTTCTCTTGTCTTCGCAATATATGTGCAGCCTCTACCTGTTCAGGCTCCATGAACCCAAACCAGGCTTCAAAGACCCAAACCAGGCTTCGAAGACCCAAATCAGGCTCCATAAAACTAAACCAGACCCCCCCTTACAATTAAACAAGGTTCCCTTGTTTAACAGGCACAAGTACACAGGAAAAAAAATTAGTTGAAATTGGCCAGAAAGTGTCTGCCAGGTTGCACAGACTGTAGACGAATGGGAGGAACTGCTTGATGGAATGAGCAGGTTGCAAGAGAAGTTGATAGCGAACTCCATAAAAATGGGACACGGGATAAGAATGATGATGATTTTGTTGATAATGATGACTTTGTTGATGATAATGATGATTTTGTTGAAGGTATTGATGATTTTGTTGATAATTATGATGAAACTATAGAACTCACCGAGTGTTCTCAAACTCCTCTTCCTTCTCGCCGATGCGCCTGTCAATCTCCTGTCTGACTTGACTCAGCTCAAGCTGTCCCCGAAGCACCTTGTTTTCCTCTTGCTCAAGTGCGGCTTCAGCCTCTTCAAGGGCAGACTGGAGCTCCTCCTTCTCGATCTCCAGACGCTTGACGGTCTTATGAACTTCGTGAAGAGATCGGCCGCCCTCTCCGAGCTGGTCGATGAGGTCCTTAATCTCATCGCTGAGGTTCTTGTTCTCGCGGCGGACGGAGTCGAGGTTCTCGAGGCACTCCTCGTAAGCCGTCTTGACGCGGAAGTGTTCCGTAGAATAGTTGCGGCATTCTTTCTGTGAGGCGTCAAGTTCCGTTGAGAGATCGTCTACTTTTAATTTCCATTCGCCGATGATCCTGTCGAAGTTCTTTTGTTTCTTCTCAGCGGCGTTCGCCAGAGTTTGGGCGCGTTCAGTGGCGATTTGCATGTCTTCGAGCTCTGTGCAGACTCGCTGTTTACCTTTCTCCAGCTGCATATTCTTGACATTCAGCTGCTCAATCTGGGATTCAGCTTCTTCAAGACGAGCAGCAAGTTTCAGACGCGCCGCCTCTAGCTCCTCGGCTCGAGCAACTCCTTCGGATTCGTACTTCGAGCGCCACATCAAGGCTTCAGCGTTGGCCTTGGACAATAACCGCTGGACGTCAGCCTTGGCGGCACTCTCGTCCTCAAGCTGCTCCCGGAGACCATCTATATCGTGCTCCAGGTTCCGTAACTTGCCAAGTAGCGTCGCTCGTTCCTGTGGTTGTAAGGAGCTATTAAACTCTAAACTTATCGTCATTGTCATTTATATCGTTATCATAAGTGTTTATAAACTCCGCGTATTGTACTCACCTAGTTGTGTTTGCAGGGGTTGAGTTTTGTCTCTTTGGTCCCACCTCTCAACTGTCAATCAACTGGTGTACAGATTTTGGAGCCTATTGGGCTCTATCAAATTTATATTTGAAACTGTGTATGGAGTCTCCCTCCACCACATCACTGCCTAATACTTCCATTTGTTAACTACTCTGACACTGAACAAAAATTGATAATGTCTCTGTGGCTCATTTGGGTTTTAAGTTTCTACCCGTGTCCCCTTGTTCGTATTCCACCCGTGCAAAATAGTTTGTCTTTGTCCACCTGTGTGGCTCAGTTGTTGTGCCAATAATCTTAAGAAACTCAACGTGTCTCTTAAGCCTGATAACATTGTTAACTATTTTACTCTTGGAAAGATGTGTAGGTCACCATACACTATACACCCATCAGCTTAAAGCAAGCCAATAACAGTGAATCTATGAGATCCACAACAGTAGAAGCTCTTGACAGTCATCGTCAAAATAAACCATCTGAACGCTAAACTTTCAGCATAGCTATGCTATGCTGAAAGCTATGCTCTCAGCGATGGTTCTGTGCAACTGGGCACAGGTAGAGCAGGTTGTGCATGTGTAGTATATAAAGGGAATGAACTGGTCATTCAATCGATCATGCAGAGCGTGAACGACTGGGCAAGCACGACACAAACTGAGCTGTTGGGTCATCTAGCCACTGAGCACCGTTGACCTGAGGTCATGTCAATAGTGATGGAGTGGTATTTTGTGACTCTGAAAGTGCTTACTGCAGTCTTTAAATAACCCGTGACCATTAAAGTCTGAAGTAGCTTGTAATATTAAATGGAATGTGCATTTTGCTAACGATAATAACTTTTGTATAAAATTTGTGTAGGATCCCATCCCATGTTGGAGTTAGAAACATGATTTTGTAGACTAATTGGCCAATGAAGCTTGCAGGAAAGAAAATATAGAATGTGACATTGGACTATCCAATGCAATTAATAAAATCAAACAAATTAAAATTATTACCTCAGACTCAGAAGAACCAAGAAATGCCCAGAGACCTGAAAGTTGCAGTATTAAAAGCTATGACAACTTTTGTAATAACAGGTATTTGTATGGTCAGCACAGTAGCCGGACCAGGCAATGTGATGTAGTCATTGAGGTAATTCGCCTCGGCTATAGGCCCATCTGGCAGGTTAGTGAGACTGAGTATATTCATTCACTCACCAGAATATTCAACTTGTAAACTGTGGCAAACCATTAAGACATTGGCTTGAACACTACAATATTGAATGTGAAACTGTGAAAGATTTTAGACCTCCTGGCCTGTTATACATCAACTAGGTAACTATTTCATTGAATCTGGTATATTGCAAGAAATCCTAACAATTTAGCCTAAATTTGCTTGTCCTATTTAAAGAGGAAAGAATTGGAAAAATGGAGAAAATGAAAGGGAAAAGCTTTTTAAGCCACATCTCTTATGATTCCATCCCTCTCCTCTGATGTAGTGAACAATACAAAGTTGCATTTACAAATTCGTAAATTAAAATATGTATAATATCTGATGTAGTAAATTGTGACCTCATGAAATATGTTTTTAAATCTATCATTTAGGCCTATTGTCTAATGTATGATCCTCTGTAATGTGTGGCAATGAATACGAGCAACTTCCTCACTGCAATAAGACCTAATTGAATTACTGCAGTTAGGCAATATTGTTTATAAATGTTGTCAATAAAGATATTAATACTAATCAGTGTAAAAATCCGTTGGAGCTTTAAAGGGGACTCGAACCCGCGTCCGAGAGAATCACAGCCGCTGACGCTAACCATTGGACCATCCCTGACGGTACAATTAGTGTTTAAACACTGGTAAGTACCAAGTTATTCGTGCGGTAGACTGGCTGGGCTCAGGAGGCCTACTTACCCGGCTTTCCTCGTCGGCCAGCTTCTGTGTGTCCTCGAGCTGGTTGGCAAGCGATAGCTTCAGTTTAGAAAGCTGACCAAGCTGGCTCTCCGCTTCTTCCAGCTGCCGCAGGAGATCGGCGTTCTCGACGCAGAGTTTCTTCTTGCCAGCATCGAAGTCGTTGAGGGTACGACTCGCCTCGTCGAGTCTGGCCTGGACCTCAGTCACCTCCAACTGGAGCTGTTTGCAGGTTTTCTCGGCGGATCCCTGAAGGATGAAGGGACATAAGAGAGAGCCTTAAACCTGTACAAATATATAGTACATGGAAGGGATAGAAGGAACGGGAAGGAATGATACCTCATGAATTAGACCATCTGGCACCCACGTCAACTCCTTGAAGGCTGAGTCTGAAGTGTCGGAACTGTACTGGCATTTGGACGTTGTGGGGTATACAGGGTTTCAACCCGATGGGACTTCGCCAGAGTCCATGCAGCTTTTATGCGCTCTGATAACTAGAGAGCTATTGCCTTAAACACACTATTAAACAGTTTGATTATGTACTCAGTGGCTTTCTATAGCTAACGAACTAAATACTTATGGCTTTCAGTTTGCATCCAAAACTGGCTACTCAACGATGCTCTGATGTTTCGTGCCGGCGGAAACTGATCAGTATTGCGACTCACAAGGTAGCTCTCTACTCTCTCTCTTTTTCTGGATGCTCAAAAAAATTCTTGACGAAGTTGAATACACCAGACGCTTTAGAGAATTACTAAGAAGAAAAGTATGTCCTGACATCGCTAGATATCTATATATTTCTCATCAGGTATGCAAATTACATGTGAAATAGAGTAATGAATATTTTTTCCAAAAAAATGGCTATAAAAAGGCTCTGCTTTTTAGCCCTATATTATTTGCTATCTGTTTTAATCCATTCTTTGAGAGAGTTATGAGTCAGTCAAACTGGCTATCACAGACAGTATTAACGCCAATATTGTATGTTGTGTTCTGAGATCAGCTAATTTATTTCTCTAATATATATATCACCTTTCAAATTGTAAACTAAATGTTAATCACTTTGTCTCACGAATGTAAGTTTGATTTAGACTACTGTACACTTGTATAGTCCAGCAAGTAATGATTTAAATAAGTTGCTTCGAATAATATTTCAGACCATAATCAATACAGTTGAAACCAACCCATAACTTATAGAAATAAAAATCAATTGCCTTGGCTGTAAAAAAGTCAAAGTTAATATGGGAGTTGGGACCTCGTAGCCTGGTGGATAGCGCGCAGGACTCGTAATTCTGTGGCGCGGGTTCGATTCCCGCACGAGGCAGAAACAAATGGGCAAAGTTTCTTTGCCTGAATGCCCCTGTTACCTAGCAGTAAAATAGGCACCTGGGTGTTAGTCAGCTGTCACGGGCTGCTTCCTGGGGGTGGAGGCCTGGTCGAGGACCGGGCCGCGGGGACACTAAAGCCCCGAAATCATCTCAAGATAACCTCAAGATAATATAGCTTACCTTGTCACGAGACAGGCTGTCCATAGAAGCTTTAGCATCGTCAGCTTCACGCTTCAAGGCGGCTTTGTCCCTCTCGTTCCTGTGACACAGAAGAAAATAACAGTCGATTATTAATTATTTAGAAAATAAAGATAATTTCGCATGATAATTATACAGGATATCAGAGTAAATAAACTTGATTGTTGTGTATTGATACAATTTCGTAATTCGTAACTCGTAATTCTGTGGCGCGGGTTCGATTCCCGCACGAGGCAGAAACAAATGGGCAAAGTTTCTTTCACCCTGAATGCCCCTGTTACCTAGCAGTAAATAGGTACCTGGGTGTTAGTCAGCTGTCACGGGCTGCTTCCTGGGGGTGGAGGCCTGGTCGAGGACCGGGCCGCGGGGACACTAAAAGCCCCGAAATCATCTCAAGATAACCTCAAGATAACCTAACCTAACCGATGACCCACGTATAGAAAACGGGATATCGCGTCACTTTTGCGAGCCGCTGTGGTTGTTAGTACATCAGTTCTTGGTCTTAGGAAGATTGATACGTCAAAATACGATGTATTATTCGAAAGAGGGTTGGTAATTTTTGGAGTCGTTATGTAAGCTCCAACTTCACAGTGATTTGGTGATTCTGAAGTGTGGGAGTTTGAGGGAGACGTTGTACTTCCAAGAGGAGATGCACAGGCAAGTTAAATCGGTTTGCGGCTGTACGTTGGAATCGAACCCACTTTCATTGACTACTCAGGCCCTAAACTCCTCGCCCTAAACACCCCAGGCCCTGAACCACTCAGGCCCTGAACCACTCAGGCTCTGAACCACTCAAGGCCTGAACCACTCAGTCCCTGAACCACTCAGGCCCTGAATCACTCAGGCTCTGAACCACTCAAGGCCTGAACAACTCAAGGCCCGGAACCACTCAGGGCCTGAACCACTCAAGGCCTGAACCACTCAGGCTCTGAACCACTCAAGGCCTGAACCACTCAGGCTCTGAACCACTCAGGCCCTGAACCACTCAGGCCCTGAACCACTCAAGGCCCTGAACCACTCAGGCCCTGAACCACTCAAGGCCCTGAACCACTCAGGCCCTGAACCACTCAAGGCCCTGAACCACTCAGGCCCTGAACCACTCAAGGCCTGAACCACTCAAGGCCTGAACCACTCAGACCCTGAACCACTCAGGCCCTGAACCACTCAAGGCCTGAACCACTCAGGGCCTGAACTCAACATGCCCTGAATACAGTCTTGTTATGTGAGTGCATCTCGTGCCCACTACAATAACAAGGACCTACTGCTTGAACAGCAGTGAACAGTTAAGAAATAATCCACTGGGCACTGAGTCTTAACTGCTGGCCCCTATTCGCCCAGCAGTAACTGAGGGATCTGGTTGTAAAATTATAAGTGGGTCATATTCCAGGGAAAAGATAACAGGAGGGGGTTAGGTTAAGATAAGCTGTGGGACTGGAAAGCTCTAAGCCTGCTGACAAGTCTGAAGTTATCCGCCCTCCTGTGTAAAGAAGGAAACGGTGGAGGACTTACTGCTTGATAGTTACGCTGGTAATTATATCGGACTTACATATTGGTCGAATGACAGTTTTCATGATTTATACATATTATTGCAACTATATTTACATTTTGTGTGTAGTCATGTTTGCATCATTGATTATGTCTAGCGACGGCAAGGTTGAGACACTCACCTGGCCTTCGTCTTATTGAGAAGGTCGATCTGCTCGGACATTTCCGCTACGACGTCGTGGTGTTTCTTGCGGAGAAGCGCCAAGGAAGACTCGTGCTGTATGTTAGACTCCTCCAGATCTCGACGCAGTTTTACTAGCTCAGCTTCGCGTTTCTTATTGAGTTCAATTTGGGCGGCGGTGGCTCCACCAGCCTCTTCCAGGCGCTCGCCCAGATCGTCCAGCTCGCGCGCCAAATTGCTCTTCGCCTTCTCTGCCTTGCCGCGGGCTTGGCGTTCGTGTTCAATCTCCTCCTCGAGCTCCTCGATGCGGGACTGCAGTTCTTTGACTTGTCTCTGAATCTTGGAGACGAGACTCTGCTCATCCTCAAGCTTGCTGGCTAGAGAAGCGAATTCCTTGTCCTTGCGCTCGATGGCCTGTTCTAACTCTCTCTTGTTACGCTCCAGATCGGCAACGGCTTCCAGGGCGAGTTTGTGGTCGCTTTCCGCTTTTCTCTTGGCCTTTTCAATGTCAGCGCGGTATTTCTTTTCCCGCTCCAGGGAGTCTTCGAGCTCGTCAAGTGTCTGCTCGAGTTTAGCCTTCACCTTGTTGAGGTGATTGCATTTGTCTTCGACGCCCTGGGCGTCTTCTGCCGTCTTCTGGTTGCACTCTTGCAAGTGTTTCTTCTCCTTGTTCACCTTGCTGATCATCTCTTCTTGGTGCGTGATCTCTTCATTCAGGTTCTGAATCTGGTGATCCTTGCTGGCCTTCTCTTGCTCCAGTTTCTGAATGGTCAGCTCCAGATCCTCAATTTCCTTCTTCAAGTTGTCCACTTCCTGATCCGCGGCTTTCTTGCCTTTGGTCAGCTGACTGCGGGCCTCCTCCTCTCCCTGAAGCCGTTCGCTCGTTTCCTAAACCAGATACATTTTTGTTACCAATAGCAGTATAAGTAGCTCCCATAAATATTTAAAGGATATATGTTCCTCAGGTGTATGTAAAGGATATGTGTAAAGAATATGATACTCTCATGTTTAAAGGAGTTTAAAGTAGGGATAAAATAATGTGTATTAAAGCCGCTAATCATATTTCACATTCTAAAACTGCATTCTTGAGGTTTCATGAAAAAAGTTCGTTGGTTAATATTATTAAATTTGACAAGTTAATTGCAATCAGTTGAATTCAGTGATGTTAAATAGCTATCAATAGAAGTGACTTGTAATTTATAACATCATATATTAAAGGAAATTTCCAAATGAAACCTAGTCCATTATGAAACATTAATAGTCCTGCAATTTAGTATATTTTTCTACATGAATAGAATTACAGTAACTAGATGAGGTTTCCGGCAGTGCCCGGGTCAACCTCAAGGTTGCGAGCCCTCATAATGCGAATCTGACATCAAAATATGCGTTTTGCATGTCAATATCTGTAATATTATTAACATATGAAAAATTCTATGACCTAGAATTGACAATTTCATCTCCACCTCCTTCACGGGGGTCGCCATGGAAGCTCAACCCCTCATAAAAGAGAGGCAATGGGGTCCACCACCACGTGCCTTTGACAGTCCCCTAATACTCACTAGTCATCTTGCAAAATTTCATGAGGCAAGCCCCAAGCATCTGGCCTTCATTCTTAGACGAAACGTTCTATTTTATAGATATTAATATGTCTCTACATTGTCTACACGTTCATTGTAAACCAGGCTGTTCAGTGTGGCAAATTGGTATTTAAGTAATTTTGCACCAAATAATAAGTTGGTAATTTTCGTACTTACAGATAACATGGCCTCAAGTTGGACCTTCTCAGTTTGTAGCTTCGAGTGCTGGTCGAGGAACTGCGCCAGGCTGCCCTTACTGGACTCCAGAGCGAGAAATAGACTACTCTTCTCTTGGAGAAGCACAATATTCGCAGCCTCGAATTCTTGACGAAGTTTCAACTCTTTCTCGTAGTCTTCCTGAGCCTTACAGGCTCTCTCTTCAAGTGCCCGCATCTGGTCCTCGAGGCGCGTGAGGTTGAGGAGCGGCTTCACCCTCTGCCACAGCTCGAACCACGCCCAGCTGCGCAGTTTGAGGAACCTTCGCAGGTTGTGTTGGATGTTGACGAGGGCCTCGCGTTGCCGTTGTAGCTTCTGGTAGCGCTGACGGCTGAGGTAGCCTCGAACCCAGGCCTGCAACCACGTGATGATCTTGTTGAGGCGGTCGTCGCGGATCTCCTCCAGGGTGCCCAGAACGCCGGCTCGGAAGAACACCTGTCGAGGATGTTGTCAGCGAAATAACGGAAGGTATTTTTTGACGTTCTCGCAATGTTAAAATGTGTGTGTGTACTAGTGTCAGTGTACTGTGAATAACATATTGATTTATGGAAAAATAACACACACACACACACAAAAAAAAACACACAACATTCGTTAAACGAGCAAACCTCGTCCTCGAACCTTTGCTCGAGTTTCAACCCCCACACAGGGGTTGAAACTGAGTACTCAAATGATCCACAGGGCCATTAGATAAAAATACAAATTCAGTGGCAGGGTAGTTAACAAATGAAATGCACTAGGAAGTGATGTGGTGGAGGCTGACTCCATAACCAGTCTCAAATGAAGATTTGATAGAGCCCAATAGGCTCAGGAACCTGTACACACGAATATCGTGCGTAGTGGTCGAGTGTAGTGAAGAAATACACCAGTATAGAAGATGTATGTTAAGATTCTACTTCCTAAATACTCCGGGAGGGTTGAGGTAGCTCAAAGGGCATTGTTCTCGAACTTCATTGTCTCATTTTACAAATCAACTATCACCCGAATCATGCAACATTACTGAAACACTAAATTACCTCAACCATTTTGCATATAACATACTGGCATAGTGCAAGGACATGCATCACTATGAGTGAAGTCGAGATGGGTTGTGGCAATCTTGACCATCAGCAGGGGTAAACAACCTCAAGGTAGTCTTCCCTTAACCATGCGGGCAAACACTCAGGTACTGAGAGGTGAGAGATGCGTCTCACTAGGAGGAAACAATCAGAAGAGCAGAGGACCTCACTTGGAGTACAATCCTGTTAGAGGTTGAAGAGAAATGGAAACTTCTATAAAAATAGGATGTTCACTCGAAGTTTAACTTTTAAGGAGGCTTCTCCTCTTTCAGACGTGCACTTGAGAGGCTCAGTATGAGTATAGAGGCATTGCACTCAGATATAAAGGAGATATAGAGTCGAAAATATTCAGGTGATAAATCTTTAAACTGTTCTCCAAGACCTTGGTGTTGCCCAAGCGGTACAGCTCCTCGTCCAGTCCAGCCTTGTCGAAGCAAGCCTTCACGGCCTTCTTGTCGTCGCAGACCTCCGCTATCTCCCTGAAGGCCAGGATCTTGTAGCTAAGGAAGGGGTGTTAGTCAGTGATGCGCTCTATATCCATTTATCTAAGGAAGCACAGGTGGCAAGTGATTTGTTTCTTGTCGGAAAACCAACACCAAAATGCTGGTACATTTATAAACAAACTCGCTAGATGGCAAGATGAAGAAGTCTCTCAGATGCCCACTGGATATACTGGCAAGATGAATGAACCTGTAAGGTTAAATACTTTACCGGACTCTAAACTTACCGACTTAAGAGCTACTTATTAATATTCTGAATAAATGCATATTTTAAATTCTACATTCGCCCACCTTGTCGAATAATGGCAATAAATGTAAAATTCTGCTTTCAAAATCGTTATGTTTGATTAGAGTACTGAAAACTTTGTCCTGTTTGTGGATGAGTTGACCCTGACAGACCACACCACCTGTAAGTTGTGTTTACATCAGGTGTTTGGCCAATTGCAGTGAGAAAAAAGAACCTTTAACTCTCAACAGTATTTAATTATTATCAAGAGCAGATGCAAACGATTCCATACTTGTGGCTAAAACAATTGTAATGTATACTATAAATCTGTGGGGAACTGTTGCTACTTGTTTACACTAACTAGGCAAACATTGTGCTAAAATTATCGAAGATAATTCCAGTATCAGAACCTCTATTTCTCTCTCTTTCTCCATCTGTAAGTAGTGGACTCACCGGTGCCTAAAGTCAGGGTAGACCATCCTGTTGGGGAAGCCCTTACGACATATACGGATGCCCTCAAGCACACCGTTGCAGGTTAGCTGGTGCATGACAAGACCCGCGTCAATCACACCTGTTGGAGGAAACCAACATATCCTTATTCCAGTTGTTTACAGCCACACCAACATCCAGGAGGAATGATTGACGAGATTTTCATTATGAAACTTTCCAATCACAACAATTTTACATCTGAACTTTGCGCAAAATCAGCCAAGATATTTTCCATTTATTTCAAAGCCACTAATTACGTAATAATATAATACCACTCAAAAGTCAATTAATTTCTACTCAATATTATGTATGGCCATTAAAGGCGACATGGAACTATAGCCTACCTACCTGGGGACTTGGTCTCGTTGGGGACGATACAGTGTTTATATGAGGCTACCTACCCGGGGACTTGGTCTCGTTGGGGACGATACAGTGTTTATATGAGGCTACCTACCTGGGGACTTGGTCTCGTTGGGGACGATACAGTGTTTATATGAGGCTACCTACCCGGGGACTTGGTCTCGTTGGGGACGATACAGTGTTTATATGAGGCTACCTACCTGGGGACTTGGTCTCGTTGGGGACGATACTGTGTTTATATGAGGCTACCTACCCGGGGACTTGGTCTCGTTGGGGACGATACAGTGTTTATATGAGGCTACCTACCCGGGGACTTGGTCTCGTTGGGGACGATACTGTGTTTATATGAGGCTACCTACCCGGGGACTTGGTCTCGTTGGGGACGATACAGTGTTTATATGAGGCTACCTACCTGGGGACTTGGTCTCGTTGGGGACGATACAGTGTTTATATGAGGCTACCTACCCGGGGACTTGGTCTCGTTGGGGACGATACTGTGTTTATATGAGGCTACCTACCCGGGGACTTGGTCTCGTTGGGGACGATACTGTGTTTATATGAGGCTACCTATCCGGGGACTTGGTCTCGTTGGGGACGATACTGTGTTTATATGAGGCTACCTACCCGGGGACTTGGTCTCGTTGGGGACGATACAGTGTTTATATGAGGCTACCTATCCGGGGACTTGGTCTCGTTGGGGACGATACTGTGTTTATATGAGGCTACCTATCCGGGGACTTGGTCTCGTTGGGGACGATACTGTGTTTATATGAGGCTACCTACCTGGGGACTTGGTCTCGTTGGGGACGATACAGTGTTTATATGAGGCTACCTGCCCGGGGACTTGGTCTCGTTGGGGACGATACAGTGTTTATATGAGGCTACCTACCCGGGGACTTGGTCTCGTTGGGGACGATACAGTGTTTATATGAGGCTACCTGCCCGGGGACTTGGTCTCGTTGGGGACGATACAGTGTTTATATGAGGCTACCTACCCGGGGACTTGGTCTCGTTGGGGACGATACAGTGTTTATATGAGGCTACCTGCCCGGGGACTTGGTCTCGTTGGGGACGGTACTGTGTTTATATGAGGCTACCTACCCGGGGACTTGGTCTCGTTGGGGACGATGCATCGGATGAAGTGGGGATGAGTGGCGTTGAGGGTCCTCATCAGGTTGTTGAGCTGGTCCTGATGGGGGGAGGGAGGTGAAGTTGCAATATAATGCAGGCGAGGAGTCACAATAACGTGGCTGAAGTATGTTGACCAGACCACACACTAGAAATTGAAGGGACGACGACGTTTCGGTCCGTCCTGGACCATTCTCAAGTCGATTGATTTTGTCAATTTCTAGTGTGTGTTCTGGTCAACAATTTGCAATATAATGTTTTCTCGTCGTCAATCTACATTATTTTGACACTCAGATCTTTTGGTTATAAAGTTATAAGTCTGTTTGAAGACTTGAAGATGTATTAACTCCTAAACTGCGACATATATCAATTATGAATAATGACAATGAGATTCACATTGCGACTAAAGTCAATGAGCCAAATCATTGTCTTACAACAAAGAGAGATTACTTCTCCTAATAAATGTCTAACACAAGCAACGCCTGACCTATTTCTGGCTAATATTAACTAATTTAATGAAACAACTGCTACTGTATGCAAATGTATAACTTAATACAGCTTGTAAGTATAAGACTGAAATATACACACCCTGTATCCAGACGACACTGTCTTGAAGCCTCCGGATTTCTTGCCACCTGTAAAAATACATTTTGTATACAAGTTTTCAAAATGTTAATGTATCAAGCCTAATACATTTAGGAAAGTCTACATTCGACATTCCTAGATACATTAGACCATCTAGTTTTATAATATGTTTAGTTTTTGAAAAAACAAATAAGTTAATGTTGTACATTACTAGTATCAATGTACCTTTGGCATCACTACCAGACTGGCCGGGATGGTCAGTGAAGATTGTGACAGTGAGTTCGTTGGCGGACTTCTTGAGCAGGTCGACGACGGTGTCGTTGAGGGGATCCTTGTTCTTCTCCAGCCAGCCACTCAGGTTGTAGTTCACTGTCCCAGCGTAGTGAACGATGGCGAAGTGGGCTTCGGCCTCGCCTGGTTTGGGTGATCTGGGCTTGATGAACACTGAAGATTTGTTGAGGTGGTTGACGTTCAGTTTCTCCTGGAAGGACTTGTCGGTAGCCTTGGGGAACATAGACTCCTCTTCCAGGATGGAGAGCAGACCCATTTTCTGTTGGAATGATGATGAAAGATAGTACAAGAAATAAATATTAAATTATATTTCACAAATTATCAACACTACTCGCTGTATTGGACCATTATAATAACACCCGATGATCAGTAGATGCGGACTGCAATAAACATCATGCACAATGAGCAAAGTACATGAATATTTACCTTCTCGAAGAGCTCGATGCAGGCCTGCAGGTCCATACCGAAGTCGACGAAGACCCAGTTGATACCTTCCCTCTTGTACTCCTCCTGTTCCAGCACAAACATGTGATGGTTGAAGAACTGCTGCAGCTTCTCGTTACAGAAGTTGATGCAGATCTGCTCGAAGCTGTTGAACTGCCGATGAAAAACATATACAAAGAATCATCAACATTACAGGAAACTTTAGAAAGCATTAAGCGAAGAATTGATTATAATGAGAAAGATCAACACAATTTAACTATTATTACTTAAAATACTTAAAATCTTACGTCGAATATCTCGAAGCCAGCGATATCCAGCACGCCGATGAATACGGAGGACTTTAAACCCGTCTCTAGAGTTTTGTTACACTTGGCTACCAGGAACTTGAAGACGCGGTCGAAGAGCGCCTTGGCGAGGGCCCCAACAGAGTAACTACACTGGTTCACATTCATTCCTTTAGCAACGAACTCAGCGCCGACCTTGATCTTGGGCTTGGTAATGTTCCTGTACAGGTCGTTACCATCAACTCCCAGCAATTTCCCAATTATATCGCCAACCTAAAAAATAAGAGGTGGAATTAATACGAACCGAAGGACCAAATTCTTTGCACCAAAAGGACTATATTTCTCACAAACGTTTGGAAATGGCTATCTATCGAAAAGCAATATTTTGTAGATTTTTATTTGCTGGCTCGAGTACCTGTGTTCCATCGGGCTCCGCCTGCTCCTCCCGACCTCGCTGCTTGAACTTCATGTTGCCGAAGTGCATGACAGCCGCTGTGATCTTGTAAACATTCTCAACTTCTTGCTTACTAAAGCCAAGCACATCAAATGCGTCCTGTTAAAGGGACAAAACATTGTAATTATTTGGATAATGTTTTAGAAGAATGCACATCATAGGTCCATAACCATTAAAAACTGGCTAGATATTTTACCACACTAAGGAAATGACTGATGTTTTGAACACATTTAAAGTTTCATATATACAGTACATTTGAAGAAATTTCAATTATATCATAATTGCATAAATTTATTCAGGATTGAAAAATTAACAAATTTAATAGAAATTATAGCGAGTGAACATCAGTATATATAGAAAATAAACTTGAAAGCATCTACGGAAGCGAATGCTTCCTCCCTGAAATTTATAAGTCAATAAATTGCTTTTCCTGCGCTACGTATTTTTGACCAAACGACTGCGAACTATGGAATATTCCTCCAGAACTGACAACAACTGTAAGACAGTAAATCAAGATTAAATCTTGCCAAACTGACGACACGTACTTAAATATTCTAGCGATAGACAGAATCCTCGCGGCTCCTGTCAACGATAGACAGGATGCCCACTGTCATTGAAACGTAAAATAGTTCGTCTCTGGGCAGTAAATGTTATTTTCTGAATGTTTATGTCTCCAAGTTATAGAAAAAGAATATTATTCCCCACACAGCAAAGGTCATTATTGATCATGACCTTTGACCCTCACACAGCTTAGGGGTATTCGTCTTGAAGGTACCTGAAGGCTGGTAGTTTTGAAACAATGTGTCACATCTCTAGATAAGGCGTCGGAAGCCTCCAGGTCACAGTAAAGTTTGAGGGAGATAATATTCTTTTTCTATACCTCGTGGGATTAAGCAATCTGAAAGATAACATGTATTACCCAGGGACAAAAATTGTGATGCATTGTGTTACATTGTGTGCTGAGAGTCACGACCACTCAGGTGACAGGACCCCACGACCACACTCACATAACAGGACCCCACGACCACACAGGTGACAGAACCCCACGACCACACTCACATAACAGAACCCTACGACCACACTCACATAACAGGACCCCACGACCACACAGGTGACAGAACCCCACGACCACACTCACATAACAGGACCCCACGACCACACAGGTGACAGAACCCCACGACCACACTCACATAACAGAACCCCACGACCACTCAGGTGACAGAACCCCACGACCACACTCACATAACAGAACCCCACGACCACACTCACATAACAGGACCCCACGACTACATACATAACAGGACCCCACGACCACACTCACATAACAGAACCCCACGACCACACTCACATAACAGGACCCCACGACCACACTCACATAACAGGACCCCACGACCACACTCACATAACAGGACCCCACGACCACACTCACATAACAGGACCCCACGACTACACTCACATAACAGGACCCCACGACCACACTCACATAACAGGACCCCACGACCACTCACATAACAGGACCCCACGACTACACTCACATAACAGGACCCCACGACCACATACATAACAGGACCCCACGACCACACTCACATAACAGGACCCCACGACCACACTCACATAACAGGACCCCACGACCACACTCACATAACAGGACCCCACGACCACACTCACATAACAGGACCCCACGACCACACTCACATAACAGGACCCCACGACCACACTCACATAACAGGACCCCACGACCACATACATAACAGGACCCCACGACCACATACATAACAGGACCCCACGACCACATACATAACAGAACCCTACGACCACATACATAACAGGACCCCACGACCCCACTCACATAACAGAACCCCACGACCACACTCACATAACAGGACCCCACGACCACACTCACATAACAGAGCCCCACGACCACATACATAACAGGACCCCACGACCACACTCACATAACAGAACCCTACGACCACATACATAACAGGACCCCACGACCACACTCACATAACAGGACCCCACGACCACACTCACGTGACAGAACTGCATATCTTCAGCGTCATCAATGGAGGGGACGGTAACCTTGCCCTGAGACACGTAGTGGTAGTCGAAGATATCATCACTGAGATAACACATGGCTGTTGAAGAAGATATTTTCACATAGTATAACATAATTAACCTATTTGACGTATTTGTTAGATTACAACTATGTCTCCAAGTCAGTTTTCTACTGATGATTAACTATGATAATTGACAGTAAACCCAGTTGGCTCAATACCCAATGTGCCCACTGGGAAACATTCAGGGGTCTGATGAGTTTAACAAATTCTGCTTCCTTGACCATCGGGGATCGAACGCCGGCCCTTCAAGACACGAGGGCTTCGCTCTACCGACCACTTCAAGTGATGTGACTATTGGCATTTAGACTTGGATGTTTCAGATACATTACTCATTCAAAAAGATGCTTACGTTTGAGTGACTTGATCTGGTCGGACATCATCTCGTAGAAGATATGGTAGGAGCGCTCAAGAGGCTGCTGGGAGATGACGCGAGCCTTCTCCAGCAGGTAGACTTCGATGTCAGCACCGGACAGCTTGCCGTTGGGTTGGAAGTGAATGCGGATGAATTTACCCTGTGTTAAGGACAGATAATCCATCACTAATGGAAGATAAAACATGTTGACCAAACCACACACTAGAAAGTGAAGGGACGACGACGTTTTGGTCCGTTCTGTACCATTCTCAAGTCGATTGTGAATGTCTGGCACAATCGACTTTAGAATGGTCCAGGACGGACCGAAACGTCGTCGTCCCTTCACTTTCTAGTGTGTGGTTTGGTCAACATATTTCAGCCACGTTATTGTGACTCCTCGTCTGAAGATAAGACATATTAAACGTCACAAGTTAGTTAAATTTGTTAATAGATCAGCACTAATATTCCTGGTGTATAAGAGCAGTGAGCAAGAGGAACTCACGAAGCGGGAGGAGTTGTCGTTACGGGTGGTCTTGGCGTTACCGAAAGCTTCCAGGACAGGGTTGGTCTGGATGATCTGGTCCTCCAGGTTCTGAAGTGTGAGAGATTTATATTACATTAACCTGGGCTCTAGGAGACTCGAATCCTGGACCCCCAAGTGTCTGAGGCCGAAGCTTTAGAGATTTTTTATTTTTTGAGGATCAGATCTTAAACTTGGAAGCTATAATTTCATGGTTACAATGTATGATTCCGGAACTAGATTTTTAAATATATTAGTAGAAAGAAATGTTATCTAGTTATGATATGTGAAACTATATAAATATATATTCGTTTTAGAACTCCTTCCCTCGATTTTATTATCGTGTGTGCGTTTGTGTGTATGTATGTGTGTGTGTGTGTGTGTGTGTGTGTGTGTGTGTGTGTGTGTGTGTGTGTGTGTGTGTGTGTGTGTGTGTGTGTGTATTTACTAATTATGCCTGCAGAATCGAGGGATTAGCTCTTGGACCCCGCCTTTTTAACCAATCTATTTTTCCTCTATTGACATTCATACATTTCTCTCTAACACACACACACATCGCCAGGAAAAAGGCCGTAGCAGCTGTCTAACCAATCAACCATTTCACTGCTAGATGAACAAGTGCATCAGGGTGAAAGAAACAACCCATTGGTTTCTGCCTCGGCCGGGAATCGAACCCGAACCCTTATTACTACGACCCCCGAGCGCTCTCCACTCAGCCGCGAGGCCCACGTGTACGTTTGTGTATGTGTGTGTGTGTGTGTGTGTGTGTGTGTGTGTGTGTGTGTGTGTGTGTGTGTGTGTGTGTGTGTGTGTGTGTGTGTGTGTGTGCAATACATTCTTACCGGTTTCTCAACATCAGCCTTCTTCCTGGTAGAGGCGCCGACGTTGGCGAAGTAGGAGAGCACCTTCTTGGTGTTCTCAGTCTTGCCGGCACCGGACTCACCGCTGTGGGAGGGGGAAAAGATCACACAGTCTTCGAGGAGCTACGAAGTACACGCTGAAGAAGCCAGGTTCTCAAACCACCGAACGCGCAAATTTACCAGTGGCTTCAGAATGTTTACAATGAGATATTTATATACAAATCTGGCAGACTCTTTTGAAATATGCTTTAGCCTTTGGGAATATATACACAATTATTGTACTAGAGCTCAGCACAGACTATAAGCTGTCCTCAATATTTAAAACATTACACAAACTGGAGAACTTACGTGATAAGCATTGACTGATTCTCAGCAACTGGAAGAAAATTAATTCTCCTTTACTATGTGTGGTATTATTATTAAAATCAATAATATTTTGTTTCGTAATGTGTAAAAAGTCTTATTTAATTACTTTTATAAAGCCTTTATCAAAATAACTTAAAATAACTATAATTTGACTTTAGTTTCAAAATCAAATATATAATTATATGACTTTATGCACAGGTCATCAGGTGTGAGCGCTTACTGGCACAAGTATGTATGGCCGTCGTTAACATTGCCACTGATAATGGGGTCACAATGGAGACAGTCTGTGCAAGAGAGAGAGAGAGAGCGCGGTCAGACCAAAGTCCTTACCATTCACTTATGATTAAAAAACATTTCTGAGACCGGTGTTTTGGTCTTGTTTTACCACTGTGAGGCCACGATTGATGGAGACAATTTTTCTGATGACTGAACGGCTTCTTCTGTAATGGGTCTTACCTTGCAGCATGTTCATGTAGGCGCCGTCAGCGATAGCGAAGAGATGGGGAGGCACTTCGTTACGCCTCTTGCCCTGATAGATCTTGACCACGCGGTTGGTGTAGATGGGGTAGCGCTTGTAGGGGTTGATGGCGATACAGAAGAGACCGGAGTAGGTGTAGATGAGCCTGGCAACATAACGGGACTTCAAGTTGTAGAGGACGGAGGCATCGTTCAGGTAGGTCAAGTTGGACATGTCCTCGCATTTCTCGTACTTGGGAGGGTTGACCTGTCCCACTTGATCCTTCTTCCAGTTCTTGGTCTCACCAGCGGCATAGACGGTGACGAGGTCGCCCTTGGTGCCGTGAATCTCACCCTCGATGAAGCCCTCCTTGGGATCAGGTACCCAACAGGACTTCTTGGGGTCGTAAGGTTTAGTGGCGTCCTGCATCTTATTCTCCATGGAGATGAAGAGGAACTCGGTGGGGTCTGGGTCGGGACCCGCGCTCCGGGCGACGTGTCCAGGCATGCTGGAGAATCAGTTGCTAACGGCGGTCGAAATCAAAATACGAAAGTTGATGTGGGTCTGTTCTGGAAAACAAACATTAGTGTTTAAGAGGTAAAACGTGTATTCCAAAATGTATGCAGGAGTTCATATTTACTGTAATTTAACCTAACCTAACTTTACGTAACCTAACCTACCCCTAACTTAACCTTAACTTAACCTAACCAAACCCAACCATAGTCCCAATAGGGCCAATATTGTATGGGCCAATAGGCCTTCTGCAGTTACCATCATTCTTATGTTGGTCCCGGAAAACGATTCATCATCGAGCAACGCAAAACGCAAATGTTTGAAAATCAGCATCAAACGCAATTTAAAAGACGATTTAAAATTATTTAAAACTGAACTCAAGATTCACAACAAAATTACGAAAAACATTTATTGTCTTCACGTTTCCCCAAACGCGAAATCTTAGCCAAATTCTTAATACATAACTGGAAATTACTTTTCAGGATATAATGTAAGAATTTACGATCAGTCACCAGGACTAGGAAATAGAAAACGTCATCTTCCTTTCCATATGTAACACATTAGACCAGTATGGGGAATCGAACCAGGGTTCTGGGAAACACCAGACGCATGCTATACCCCCTAAGCCACGACATGCTAAAGACTGTTAAACCTGGGATGCTATTAAGTCCACTAGGAAGTCTGGAGGCCCTGAGCTAGCGTCCAACATGCACTCTAGCGTGGGTAATGGAGTTCCCAAACCATATACTCTCTCCATAAAGGATTTTCTCACTAATATGTGTAAGATACGAACTATGTAGATTGGACTTTCTATAGAACAGCCCTTCATGGTTTTTAAAGATTTATATGTAGCTTAAGGCTAGAATAGGTGGCATTTATAAGGTTAACTTACGGTGTGATGTTTACAACATGAGCGGTACACGATTGAAACACGTCAGGATAGCCATACATGTTCTTTTAAAGCTTTTGATTTTAACAAATGTTGAAATATTATAACGCGCCGATAGGCATCCCTTGCTATCCCGCTAAAATAACAGCCCATCTTCAGCATTTGTTCATTCCATCCAGCGGCCGACCCCAAAGACGCATTCATCGATGTTAACATATTGTTCATTAAAAATAGACATTTTCTCAAATATACCAATATTATTATTATATATTAGCATATTAGCATATTGTGCATATTTAGGCGTTGGTTAGGTTAGGTGTTTAGGTCCTGGTGGTAACTATTTGTATTTGTAGTACGTGGGTAAAGCATTTACAAAGTTGTGATTCGAACAGAGGTCGTCAATCAAGCATTGTTCGAACAATGTTCGAACAATGTTCGAACGTCATCAGTTGCAAGTCAGTGTGGATAAAGCGTTTTTCAGAATACGGTATTTGGCGGCTGCTTGAAATGGATGCATTGTCCTTTGTTGATGAGGACGGGCCACAACGTACAAAATCCAACCTTCTAACCCAACTACAGACGTACGACCCCAAGCCTCCCACCTAACCTAACCCAACCGAGGCTTAGAAAAACTAAGATATCCGTGAACAGCTACTTTTCATAGAACTTTATATTTTGTACCACCAGGAACTCACTCACTGCTGCGTGAACAGGGGAGAATAAGTTGAGGATTGATGCCCAAATCAATCCTCCAGGTCTCGAACCTAGACTATAGATTTATCGCGAGGCGCAGAGTGTGTTACCATTGCGCCATCAAGGCTCTCTTCACAAACATAGATGTGGGCGTGCACAATTACTGTACAGCTTTCGAATCCACGTCGCTAGGTTATACCATCGCCAATTAAACCATTTCTCAATCATACCTTATTCTATTCAAAGTTTGGCAACCACATCGATAGGTCACACCATCGCCAATTAAACCATTTCTCAATCATACCTTATTCTATTCAAGGTTTGGCAACCACATCGATAGGTTATACCATCGCCAATTAAACCATTTCTCTATAATACCGAATTCTATTCAGTGGCAACCACATCGTCAGATTACACTGACATACTTGTGGAACGAACACAGGAATATATGCTTACAGCGCTCTGCGGACGGCACACGTCGACGACGCCACTGGTCCGGACTCCCACCGGCGGTCAAATGAAGCCCACGACGCTGGGGCGAGGGTCGAGGTAACCTCCTCCGGCGAGGCGGGAATAAGACCTTCCGTGCCACCACCTAGGATAAAAATACTAGCCGCCGGGCCACTGGGAACACAGGAATGGCCGTGACGTATGTTACTGTTTGGGGGGGGGGGGGAAGGGAGCCCTCTCCTCCTGCCCCAGCAGGAAGGTAGGCTCTTGGGAAGGCAGGCAGGCACCTGGGAAGGTAGGCAGGCCCCTGGGAAGGTAGGCAGGCCCCTGGGAAGGCAGGCAGGCTCCTGGGAAGGCAGGGAGGCTCTTGGGAAGGCAGGCAGGCTCTTGGGAAGGCAGGCAGGCTCTTGGGAAGGCAGGCAGGCTCTTGGGAAGTCAGGAAGGCTCTTGGGAAGGCTGGTAGGCTCTTGGGAAGGCAGGTAGGCTCTTGGGAAGGCAGGTAGGCTCTTGGGAAGGCAGGTGGGCTCTTGGGAAGGCAGGAAGGCTCTTGGGAAGGCAGGCAGGCTCTTGGGAAGGCAGGTAGGCTCTTGGGAAGGCAGGCAGGCTCTTGGGAAGGCAGGTAGGCTCTTGGGAAGGCAGGAAGGCTCTTGGGAAGGCTGGTAGGCTCTTGGGAAGGCAGGTAGGCTCTTGGGAAGGCAGGTAGGCTCTTGGGAAGGCAGGTAGGTTCTTGGGAAGGCAGGCAGGCTCTTGGGAAGGCAGGTAGGCTCTTGGGAAGGCAGGTAGACTCTTGGGAAGGCAGGTAGGCACTTGGGAAGGCTGGTAGGCTCTTGGAAAGGCAGGTAGGCTCTTGGGAAGGCAGGTAGGCTCTTAGGAAGGCAGGTAGGCTCTTGGGAAAACAGGCAGGCCCCTGGGAAGGCAGGCAGGCCCCTGGGAAGGCAGGCAGGCCCCTGGGAAGGCAGACAGGCCCCTGGGAAGGCAGACAGGCCCCTGGGAAGGCAGACAGGCCCCTGGGAAGGCAGGTAGGCTCTTGGGAAGGCAGGTAGGTTCTTGGGAAGGCAGGTAGGTTCTTGGGAAGGCAGGCAGGCTCCTGGGAAGGGCGATAGGCCCCTCGAAAGGCAGGCAGGCTCCTGGGAAGGCAGACAGGCCCCTGGGAAGGCAGGCAGGCTCCTGGGAAGGCAGACAGGCCCCTGGGAAGGCAGGCAGGCCCCTGGGAAGGCAGGCAGGCCCATGGGAAGGCAGGCAGGCCCCTGGGAAGGCAGGCACGCCCATGGGAAGGCAGGCAGGCCCATGGGAAGGCAGGCAGGCCGATGGGAAGGCAGGCAGGCCCATGGGAAGGCAGGCAGGCCCCTGGGAAGGCAGGCAGGCCCATGGGAAGGCAGGCAGGCCCATGGGAAGGCAGGCAGGCCCATGGGAAGGCAGGCAGGCCCCTGGGAAGGCAGGCAGGCCCATGGGAAGGCAGGCAGGCCCATGGGAAGGCAGGCAGGCCCCTGGGAAGGCAGGCAGGCCCATGGGAAGGCAGGCAGGCCCATGGGAAGGCAGGCAGGCCCCTGGGAAGGCAGGCAGGCCCCTGGGAAGGCAGGCAGGCAGGCAGGCCCATGGGAAGGCAGGCAGGCCCATGGGAAGGCAGGCAGGCCCCTGGGAAGGCAGGCAGGCCCATGGGAAGGCAGGCAGGCCCCTGGGAAGGCAGGCAGGCAGGCAGGCCCATGGGAAGGCAGGCAGGCCCCTGGGAAGGCAGGCAGGCCCATGGGAAGGCAGGCAGGCCCCTGGGAAGGCAGGCAGGCAGGCAGGCCCATGGGAAGGCAGGCAGGCCCATGGGAAGGCAGGCAGGCCCCTGGGAAGGCAGGCAGGCTCCTGGGAAGGCAGACAGGCCCCTGGGAAGGCAGGCAGGCCCCTGGGAAGGCAGGCAGGCCCCTGGGAAGGCAGGCAGGCCCATAGGAAGGCAGGCAGGCCCATGGGAAGGCAGGCAGGCCCCTGGGAAGGCAGGCAGGCCCATGGGAAGGCAGGCAGGCCCATGGGAAGGCAGGCAGGCCCCTGGGAAGGCAGGCAGGCTCCTGGGAAAGCAGGTAGGCTCTTGGGAAGGCAGGCAGGCCCCTGGGAAGGCAGGCAGGCCCTGGGAAGGCAGGCAGGCCCCTGGGAAGGCAGGCAGGCCCCTGGGAAGGCAGGCAGGCCCCTGGGAAGGCAGGCAGGCCCCTGGGAAGGCAGGCAGGCCCATGGGAAGGCAGGCAGGCCCCTGGGAAGGCAGGCAGGCCCCTGGGAAGGCAGGCAGGCAGGCAGGCCCTTGGGAAGGCAGGCAGGCCCCTGGGAAGGGAGGCAGGCAGGCAGGCCCATGGGAAGGCAGGCAGGCCCATGGGAAGGCAGGCAGGCCCCTGGGAAGGCAGGCAGGGCCCTGGGAAGGCAGGCAGGCCCCTGGGAAGGCAGGCAGGCCCCTGGGAAGGCAGGCAGGCCCCTGGGAAGGCAGGCAGGCCCCTGGGAAGGCAGGCAGGCCCCTGGGAAGGCAGGCAGGCAGGCAGGCCCCTGGGAAGGCAGGCAGGCAGGCAGGCCCCTGGGAAGGCAGGCAGGCCCCTGGGAAGGCAGGCAGGCCCCTGGGAATGCAGGCAGGCCCCTGGGAAGGCAGGCAGGCAGGCAGGCCCATGGGAAGGCAGGCAGGCCCCTGGGAAGGCAGGCAGGCCCATGGGAAGGCAGGCAGGCCCCTGGGAAGGCAGGCAGGCCCCTGGGAAGGCAGGCAGGCCCATGGGAAGGCAGGCAGGCCCCTGGGAAGGCAGGCAGGCCCCTGGGAAGGCAGGCAGGCCCCTGGGAAGGCAGGCAGGCCCCTGGGAAGGCAGGCAGGCCCATGGGGCATCAGGAGACACGCCGCAAAACCAAGGTATTGTCGTAAATAAATATGTATCTTTTGCAAAGCCAATTCGTCGTCCTCAGTTTTCATGTTGAGACTTCTTCACCTCGTGGGTGGTTTGTGGCGTGATTGTTGGACAATGGTCTGCGGACACATGTGAGCTGGTTCGTCCCAGGTCAGTGTGTATCATGATACTAGTGTCATGGTGATGTGTATTTGTCCCCAGGGCCCTTGAGGGATACTTGGCACCAGGGGCCCTCGGGGCAAACATATCACCAGGGCCCCTAATAGTATAGCTGGCATTGTTAACTATGTATGCATTAATGTCAATATTGACTGTTTTAATATCAATATTGACCGTGTGTATGTACTAGCGCCACAATTGTGCACAACTTACATCACAAAATAAGTATAAGGAGAAGACAACATACATGTGACCTCAACTAATCATACAGTGAAGCTATAGAAATGAGCTTCACTTTCCCATACAAAAGGGATCCCGTTCATTAAGTGAATTACTTATGCACTCGTAGCTGTTGACATCAGGCCACCAGGCAAGAGAGTGCAAGGATGGACTCATAAGATACGAGTCTTGAGCATTTACTCCTCAGACAATTCAGCTTCCTAAGGTCAGCACCTTGAGTGGGTCTCGTAGTCCATATCTATACAATCTTAGCCAATGACTGGTAGATAACGTTAGTTTCGACCTGTGATTGTATTTATGGTCCTTGTTGATTGTGCATGTGTCTCTTATACTGTTGATTGTGCATGTGTCTCTTATACTGTTGATTGTGCATGTGTCTCTTATACTGTTGATTGTGCATGTATCTCTTATACTGTTGATTGTGCATGTGTCTCTTATACTGTTGATTGTGTATGTGTCTCTTATACTGTTGATTGTGCATGTGTCTCTTATACTGTTGATTGTGCATGTGTCTCTTATACTGTTGATTGTGCATGTGTCTCTTATACTGTTGATTGTGCATGTGTCTCTTATACTGTTGATTGTGCATGTGTCTCTTATACTGTTGATTGTGCATGTGTCTCTTATACTGTTGATTGTGCATGTGTCTCTTATACTGTTGATTGTGTATGTGTCTCTTATACTGTTGATTGTGCATGTGTCTCTTATACTGTTGATTGTGCATGTGTCTCTTGCACTGTTGATTGTGCATGTGTCTCTTGCACTGTTGTGCATGTGTCTCTTGCACTGTTGATTGTGCATGTGTCTCTTATACTGTTGATTGTGCATGTGTCTCTTATACTGTTGATTGTGCATGTGTCTCTTATACTGTTGATTGTGCATGTGTCTCTTATACTGTTGATTGTGCATGTGTCTCTTGCACTGTTGATTGTGCATGTGTCTTTTGCACTGTTGATTGTTCATGTGTCTCTTGCACTGTTGACTGTACACGTGTGGTGTGCACTGCCCACTGGGACTCCAGGGCGACTGTGTACCTCCTAAGAATGCGCAACGAGAAACAAGTCACTGTCAAGGTCAGGAGAGACCCCGGTGTTGCGCATAGTTGGCCGAAGGTCCCCCATCCCCCCCTCCCCCACTCCCGCGGTATTGGCACTGTGTACTGTGTATATACAACGGTGTATGTTTCTAGGTACTAATAACTGTGTATTCCTTGGTAGTACTGTGAACGATTGGTGTTGCTGGGATTGTTGACTGTGCGAACGGTATTCACGGTGGCCCATGATTGGCCAACCAAGCGGGTTGAGCGGTATACAGCGACGATTCCGCTTTTCGTGCAGGTCGGCGTTCGATTCCCGATTGCCCAAGTGGTTGGGCACCGCTGCATCCCTCCGTGCTATCCCTCCCCCTTCCTATCCCTCACCTCTCTTCCATATGTGCTATTGTCATACTGGTGTTACCAGTATGACTGGTAACACCAGTATGTCACCAGTATGACTGGTGACCCCTAAGTGTTACCTAACCTTTCCTGACGAGGGCCCACAAGAGCAGGATGACAGTGACGAGGGCCCCAAAAGGGGGAGGAAGAGTAGTTAGAGACACGACCAGAGTGGCACCTGCCACCTTTGAGATATTTTCAGACATTTCAGGCGTCTGGGAACAAGACTCTCGCTTGACGATGTCGCCAGGCTGGTCGCCCCCTCCCCACCACCACTACCAGGCTGGTCGCCCCCTCCCCGCCACCACTACCAGGCTGGTCACCCCCTCCCCACCACCACTACCAGGCTGGTCACCCCCTC